AGCATCAGCAAAGTGCTGCTGCAGAACTGGACCGACAAATCTCCGGTTTTTAGATAGTAACGAGCAGGTAGACTTGTTCACCTACCTTGGTAGATGTTAACTATGGTGGTCATATATTGCTAAAGAAATAACTTCGCGTGTGGTCTCCCAGACTCAACTGTCTAAGGAGAGGGCAGGATATCGGCATGTTAGTGAAAGGTAGAGTGTAAACGCTGCGGTAAGACCAGTATAACTGTATAGGTCAGAGACCGGTGAAATGATTAAACGCTTGACCGTGCTTGACCACTGGTGCTTGCGGCGTATTGCTCACGTCTGGTAGAAACATCGGGTGAGAAATGCTGAGGTCCACCAGTTGGTTTCTGGCAAAAATCCTTCTGGTGCCTCACTTGAGTGTTTTTTCAATCGCAATGGTTTGCGTTGGCTAGGTCATGTCCTCCGTAAACCCTTCTATCACCTTCCTCGGCTTGTGTTATACGCCGTGGCTGCACGAAGTTGGGGGGAAACCGTGAGGTGGTTAGTCCATGATGTGGCATAGATGCATGTAGAAACTGACTGAGATTTGGTCAGGCTAGTATGTGCCGTCTTCGTGCATGAGGGCTCTGGATGATCCACACCAATTGTTGGGGACTGTATCAGAAATGGTGCAGTCACGCAGTCAGTGGGGTCCCTGTAGACAGTCTCTTGCATGTGGTTGTTAATTTTCGTTCCGTTCTGATTAAGTTAACGCACCTAGTTGCTTCCATTTTCTTTACTGGCAATGGCGCAAAACATGACCAAAAGATCGGAATTTCATGCGCAAAAGAACCGTGCTGTTTGTTTTAATCGTTTAACCATCACAGTTAAAGCGCCGAACTCGGTAATCGCTCACGCGGTGTTTCCACCAGATGTGAGCTAAGCAACGAAGACAACGGTAGTCTAAGGTAACAAGTCCCTTTATGTCTGTCGATTTGATAACCAAGAATTCACAACTACACAGTAGGGTTAAACGGAACACTGCATGTTAGACTCTACTATGCAAGGACAGAATGGTTTCGCGTCGGTGCCATAAGTAGCAAAAAGTAACAAACGCGTCTCGAGCCTTTGATACACGGTTTGCCATTTCACCTTTTGTTACGAAAGCGATAAGGAGGCTTACCAGGTAGTTGAATTTCTGAACGACATCTAGCGGATCCAAAACAAGGGTCAGCGTATAGAGCGATCCCATTTAAATTTGTGGGTGTACAGATAAGCCCAAAACGGCTGACAGCCAGTGCTTAGCAGTCCAGCGCTAATTGGTATGTCACAGATGAGGGCAATATCATCTGCAAGCAGCTCCACACATTCCAAGTCGTGTTCAGTGAACACGGGTTAAATGACTTTATCAGTGGCGAAGTAAAAATGCATTCCTGTCTCACACCGCTAGAGATAGTGAAAGGCGGCGACAGTTTGCCATAAGCCTTCAAACAACCAGAACCAAGCTCGTGACGTCTATTGATGATTTCACGAATTTCTCGGGCATAATTATTCTGATCAACAAGTAAAAAAGAGTGCATCGATTCACCGAATCGGTGTGATCAGCAAAGCCCTACTTCAAGAAAGCCGGCCTCGCAAGCCATCAGCGTGGTCATATGGGGCCAACATCTAAGGGAAGACGAGTGAGCTAAGTATCTAATCATTATCAGCGCAGTGCTTGGCAAATACGCTGTTTTCGATACAATCTACTAAGACAGGCTGCTAATAAGGTCAATGTGATACGTGGGCTACATCATGACTGCATTTAGTCCATAGCTGTGCATGCGTATGCTTGTATTTCAAGTGCTGGCTGATAGTTGGTATCCTAAAGGGGGCTGCGTTTGATACAAATATTGACAAGGTGCCTACTTGTATAACATCTTCCACTCTATTACCGGCTCCAGGAGACCGCTAATGGTTGCTGGGGAACGCGGTACACGGTCTTTGTGACCCTGCTACGCTCAAACAGTGGTTCCATCCAGTGTGGAGCGGACTACGGCAAGGCCACCGCCTTGTGCACGTCTGGTACACATGATTCCCAGTATAGATAAACAGGAATACTGATGTGGTGCGTGTTGAAGGAGTGTGGGTCGGCTCTGTTGCGGAAGCGTGGTTATTATCCACATGTCTCCCGGTCTTATTCCTTCGGATTATCGCCGGACATAGGATAAGTGGATGGAGCCGTGAGTGGTGCAGCGCAACCCACGCATGGTTCCTCTGTAGACGTAGTCGTTCTATGGCTGTCCTGCGGGGCCACAATGACAGGTAAATACAGAATCGGATGCCGTCAATAAAAGCATCCAGTGCATCCGCAGTGGTAATGAAAATGCTGAAAGTGAACCCATTATGATGCATAAAACTTATTTTTACTGACTTGACTGAAAGTTAGAAGCGATAGAGAAAAGATTGATACCTCTACAATTGATGTATTCCACGCATGAATCTCTCTTGAAAATCGGGAATGAAAAAAAGCAGCAACAGTCGTTGGAGACAGTTGCAAGCTCTCACGGTTCCATTAACAGGTCGTGGAAATCATTCACAAGACCTTGTTTCTCCAATTTGAAGAGGGCTGGAGGATGTCCATCTAGCTCTCCGGTCTTATGCAACTAAGGCAGTTTGATCTCACGTTGGAGCTGGGCACGAAGACCCGTTTAAAAGAACAACCTGGGCAATAGAGCGATCACCGAATGACAGCGAATACAGTATTTCCGACCGGATAACATGCCATTCAAAGTACTCAGCCCAACACCCCAATATTTTGACAAATTGTGGATAGGCTGTCCACTATTGTCGCATATAGTCTAACTAATACTAGGGCTTTTGCTTCCCGTTTCGTGTATCAGATGAAATAACGCGATGGTTCCTAAGCGCAGCAGCCGTTTCTACTTATGATGCATGTTGAGACCACCAGGCTTCGCGGCTTCTCCTCAGACTAGCATGCAGTTTCACCCTGAGGTCTTTATGAGTCTCACTGTGTTCGCTCCCAGCCGGAACAAGGACGAGTGTGGAGGCGCAATGTCTCCGTTGACAATTTGATATTCCACATGGAGACATCTGTTATTAATAAACGTCTGGTGAACATGTGACCAGTGATTTGCAAATTTGTTCAGTGAGAGATTACTGAACCCGAATACCAGAACATTTTGGTGTGCATCCAGAACATCCAGTTTCATTAGCTGGCTGGTATCTATGTATTCACAGCGTCGCCACATGCGTCTGCCGAGAAGCACTCGCAGATCAGCAGATAAAAGTGCACGGTCGGAGTCTACGCCGATCGAGTTTGGACGCAGGCTCTCTAGCAGTAATATAAAAAGGACACCAGCAATACTCCGGCTCAACGCACAGACGTTTCGATGCTACGCGACCACCAACAGTCACACGAGGGTTCGGCATACCGCCCGTACATAAGCGGGTTCGCACCGGCCTGCGGCGATTGAGCAGAATTTGAACAGATTTGCGTCTAAATCCTGTGCGAGACAGCTGGGCCCTCCTGTGCGTGCTGTGTCGAAAGTACTCGCAAGAAATAGACCAACAAATTCACACAATTGTAGGAACCATTCACCATCACCAGTACGGGAGTCAACAGCATGTTGGCCGTCTACATGTAACTTGTCAGTGGACAATAAGCTAACTTAAGCGTTTAGAAGATCAGGAACCACAACGAGATCGGTAAATCTCCTATGATGAAAGAACTCCTTTAGTAAACAATAGAAATTCACTGAGTCAGCGTTACAGTTTGTGGGGACGTAGGCAGTAAGGACAAATAGGCACCCATTGGCGCCGAGCCACTTGGAAGTTTCAGAGGAGCCAGGTAATCTGACGGAGCACATCATTCTGATGACTGGGATCCAATCGATCAAGGCAGCTTCTGCCCACACCAGCTTCACCGGCATTCGAAGCTTCGTTGTCTCCATACAAGCGTAATGAGCGAGTGCCATCAGCGTTACACGAAAAGGACCGCATAGTGACCACAAAGCCCGAGTCTTGCAAGCGAGTTTCGATAAGCAGCGGATATCGATCGATAAGGTTGCTAGTGTTCGGGTAAGTGGTGGTTGTTGGCCATTCTGGAACACAGTGCGCGAGCTGAGGTGTGACAATCCTAGCGAGAACTGAGAGCTTCTGATAAAACGAATAAAATGACTTCGTGTGTTTAGTTGAATATGGACCGATTGACTAGACCGGAGCGATGCGCTGCGATTGCCTGAATCGAGACTAGAAGACAAGCAACTATTAAATCGAGATGGAGAACGGCCGAGAATTAGAGATTGCAAACAGAGGGACAAAAATGAAGTTGTTACACGGAGGTAAGGATGAAAATGTGCAAGACGATTGGAAGGCTTGAGCAGTAGCATCTTGAGCCAAATCCAACCTGTTCGACGCAGCAGATGGGGCGTCATTAATTATTCTCTGCGTCGGCCAGACCATCAAGAGGTTATTTGAAGGTAAGATCACTGTAATGCGTGAGCAGGATACTGTCAGGATGCACGATTAGAGTTATCAACTAAATTCTATGATTGAAACCCTAACTGCTGCAAGTCAGTGGAATTTTGACCCTGGCCTACACGTAGACCGTTTTAGGGATTAAGGAGCCAATAGGCTAAGGTCCAATCTCGTCGTGGGAACCGGATAAGAAATGCAGACAATCAAAGCAAGACGGTGGTCAAAAAACTTGGCATGTCAACAGCACACACGAGAGTGGTTGCAAGCGGAAACAGGCAATAAACAATCGTTTCCATTTTTCTGTACATGAAAAGAGAAGGAGAAGGCCAAAAGTAGAGTAAATGACACACACATATTGCAGAGCACACCAGGTGTATATGCATTTGCTGAAAGCTCATAGCTCAAATCAGATATGAAAGTGATGAGCTTACAGTAGTTGAACTGATAAAAAGAGGAAATTAGTTTGGAAAATTACATTAGCGCCGTTACTGATGTGGTGCTTCATAGCAAGTCTGTCGGCCATATAGTGAAAGCGAGAAGAAGAGCGTGCAAGAGAGCATAGCACTCACCAACTCCAGAGAGCGTTCCGTCCTATCCTTTAAATTAAGGTAATAGATTCCGTCATTCGTCCCGAAAAGTAGAATTTGGCCTATGAAAGGATGAAATGAAAAATGAATGGCATGCAGTTCAAAGCAGACAATGGAAAATAGAACAAACCGAACCGAGTCGCCTTGAAAGCGAAAAGCAACCTGATAAAGATGCTAACGCAGTCGCCGACTAAATATCGCAACCTCAGAAAAGTCAGACTACGGATTGAAGGTACAACGGACAAGCAGTGATTGCGATAGGCCATAGTGTGAAGGTGGGATAAGTCGGTCTAGATGATATGACGAAATTGGGCAGCGAAATCATTCAAAGAAATAATGACGAGCTGATCGCCGGACTCGAGCTATATGGATCATCATCTGTGAGACATTTGAGCGGACGGTGGATGTATCGCCAACGACATTTGTGGGGTTTGGATTTTTCTAACAGAAAGTAATCGTGCTGTCACCATCACAACCAAGGGAAAACTGAATGAATTCAGTTTAGTGTAAACAACCGTTACCGGGATACCGAGGCACGTGGATCAAGTTATCACTACCCGCGTCGTCAAAAGAAAAAAAAGAAGCTATCAGCAGTATGCCGGTACACAGTACTGACGTTTCGCTACCGCGCGGCCACCAACGTTCGCACGTGAGCTAGGGATACCGCGTGGATCCTTCTGCGCTTACGCGGGATCGAACCCGCGCCGCAAGATTACGAGACGAGCTCATCATCTATAGGCTACGGGCCGGCTACGGTAGTCATGATAACAATAAATAACAATGACGGGGGAAATGAGGTTGAGTGAAAAAAAGCTGCGAAAAGTGGGTACAAATAATCGAAATGGAGAGACAGGTGCAAGAATAATGAAAAAAGAGCACAAACACAAGGATGCCGAGATTCCGTGTGTGATGCCACTGAGCAGATTGACCATGGTAAATGAAGTCCGCCCAGTGGTGCTGAGCGACTACAGAGCACATATGCATAAGTCAGGAGTGCGTGTAAATCCGGTGGCGGATGTGATCAAGAAAGAGATAGGTATATATTGGGCCAAACTAAAAGGCAATTAAAAGGGTAGGATACTTGTTATACATAGAGTACGTTGGCTGCCGGCCAGGGTGTAATGACAGCAGGGAGGAAACGGTAGTCAAGATTAACTAAACAAAATCTAGTGCACATGCGTCCAGAGTTGCGGGGAAATGCACTGATCAATTGATAGCGCCAGATGCGATAAACCAGGGTATGGAATGCATAAAGACATGTAAAAAAAGTCATACCATTGGTGGCCGGATTAGTCCACGAGGCGGTTGCATTCAGCTTGAGGGGACAACCTTCGAATATCAAGGAGAAGCATGCTCCTGCCTGAGGAAGTTGAACAAAGTATGAAAAATAAGAATACTGTAACCAGATGTGCATGAGAGTCAGAGGGGTATGTGACGGTTCTGTAGGCAGACAACGGGAACTGTCAGCAAAGCGTTACCCACGGAAGACAGGGTCAATGAAATAATGGGGAGGAATGAGGTCAGAAACTACAAAAACAAAACTAGTAACTATTCAGACGAAGTATTACGATGAATTAAGTTAGAAGAGCGGAATGTGGTACTAGTATCACCATCACCAATGTTCGGAGGTAGTCAGGCAAGCAGGAAAAATAGAGGAAAGTTGAGTTTGGGGGAAACGCGAAGCCATAAGGAAACCCACATAGGATGAAGTGCGTTCATCAGGACGGTCCGTAGAGACAAAGCAGTGAATGAAGAATTTCGCATCCACTTGACTTTGGCATGCGATGATGGGTCTCAGGGGACTAATATCACAGGATTCCACACGGTATGCCAACATCAGGAATATGTCGGATAAACAAATGTCGATTAAAAACTGGATTGTAAACCAAAAAGCAAACAAAACTCGAGTACTGGTATACGGCGATTCACAGGCCATCGTTTCGCGACGCAGCACATATGAGAGAACAGCAAGCGACAAGGTGAAGCGAAGTAGCAAGATAAAAAGGAGGAACCGAAAAGCTGTTGACTGGCTTAAAAAACTTCAGGTGAATTACAGCTGGATGTCATTGGCACAACTGCTTGCCCCGGAAATTTTCGGGTTCCGTCACCATTAAGTACATCATAACCAATGACAGTAGAAGTGTGTTTCGTTAGATGAACTGGTCAGTGTTTGCTTCGGTTTCAAATGCGATGAAAAATAAGTCCCTAGATTGGGTACATTGTGGGTACTCTTTATATGCGTGCTGTCTGACGCAGATTAATGCCCAGTGTTGTTATTGTATCATAATGTGGTGGGCCTGTGACGGTTCCCAACAATGTGTGGTCCAGCTAAAGCTTCCTCGTAATAAGGCACAGTTGTCTATGTCACCGAAACGGGTGAGCAATCGAGGAAAAATAACAAATGTTTCAACAACGATCGAATGACGTGTATTCATGGAAGTTGTTTCTTGGAAGCAGGACACATGATATTCTCGACAGCATTTGTGATCCCAACACCGAAATTTGGTGGACGAAGCTACCATGTGCGCAGCCACAGTAGCAATAAAAATGAAGCATGTACCATTCGAATTGGAACCGGGTGGTGATTGATAAAGGCGTACCTAGGTGTCAATATGTTCATTGAGTCGGACAACAGGGTTCCAGGGTATTACCACCAATTGCTGTCATCATCAGTGGTTAGACGCCATTGCCTTGGATGTATGATTAAGAGAAAAAGTACAAGTCAACTCGAGAGAGTGGAAAGCGAGAACGAATGTGACTCAATGACTAAGTTAGCCCGAGATGAAATGACAGCAGTGGACCACAAGATTAGCTACATTCATTGCTTATAACAGCTGAGAAGGAGCTCTTGTTGAATGACTGAAAGGAAGTGGACTGGAAAATAAGAAACAAAAAGGAAGAAAAGAACAGAAATAGAGCCGCGTCAGTGAGCAATGGACCCCACGTGCAGTTTTGGCTGAGGGTCAATATCTCAGGAGACAGACTATGTAGAGCTGCGTGAGGTGTCTTCTTCGTACTAGTTCCACATGGACCATATTGAATGGAAGACAGCTAAAGTACTTTTTCGATCGCGCAAGGTGATACACATGATCGCGATCAACTGCAGGTAAGTTTGTGTCGGTCTGCACTATGATGGGAAAGACGTCTGCCTTAAGGTGGATGGTAGGAAGGCAGTAACAACAAAGGAAAACGCGATACTCGCACACCCCACCACTGAGTTAACAGCCGCAGACTATCAGCTCCCGCGGCTTAGTATTGGAACAAAGAGACCAGTCCCTACTCAGCATACGACAATGAGAGCAATTATACTGAGTCTACCTGACAACAGCTACCTAACGGAGTGAATGGATTGGATCGTTGAAGCGAATCAGACGGACAGTTGGAAGACAACTGAATGGGCTCTAGAGTTGGAGCACAAAGTGAGAAGTCACTTATTTACGCTTCAATTAATTGCCACACGCATTTGTTAGACTGAATCGACAATGACTCCGATTGTTTAAATGTACGGAAACCGCATGACGGATTATGTGTGTGCAATATAAAGAAACAATAAGCACTGTGAAAGCCGGTCGACATTTGCGGAATCAACTGTTTGCCAAGCAAGAACTGAGCTTTAAAACATGGTATAAGACAAAAACAGGGCCGATTCCATGACCGCTATACAATCAACGTCTCGAACACAGCTGGCCCACCAAACACCTGCTATTCGCATCATATGGTGAGTTTGCAGCTGAGGTCAATAAACCAGTGGTCATTTGTAAAAGTTAACCAGCCAATAGAGTGGGCTTGTCATATCGCGAGCATCACAAAGACAGATGAACTGCTGACATGTCTCGATGAACTTTTAGGGAGCACTATGCGCCAATGGCCTTAGGGAACGTGCCACTTCCGATAGCGAAAGCTAAACACCAAGTGTGCAAATCGATCTTCTACATCCTTACATGTGTATCGGGATGAAGAGCTGAGTTTCATAACAATCTTCGCCGGTAGCGTGTACCGTCTGGCTTAACTCGTCCGCAAAGTAACTTCGTTCTAAGGACACGCGGCTAGTCCCATGTGTAGGTAGCGCGATTTTAAGCTACTAATAAAAATATCCACGTTTGTTCCAGCTAGTGAGATTGATGGAGCCGGAAACTGTTTACAACAGAAGTATTGAACGTATTTTGCATATTTTGCAGGTGGAAATTTTTATTTAGTTTCAAAAAGAATTTTAAGTGTGTAAGAGGCACGAGGGCCAGTGGGAACAAAAGAAAAATTGTACAGCAAATATGCTTAAAGTGTACAGTGGAGTTACCAAAAAGTGGTTGTTGAAAATGGACGTTGACCTTAACAGTGCAACGCGTGTGGCAGATAAGGTGCTGATTCGCGGTTGGATGAAGAGAGGATGATGTTGAGGTTCATCGCTTCCAGTAACATTAGGTTCGAAAGAACATGTCACAACAACGGACATAAGCATAGTCGATGTCACAAACATCAAGGGGATATAACGGAAATATCGTGGACAACACATTCAATCGGCTAAGCACAGAGATGAACAGTTTGAGTCGCCATTACCAAAAACAGACGATGGGATTACGTGTAGTCGTGAGCTCACCAACAAACCAGTTGGGTTAAAAGAAGAGGAGACCGAATTTGCATATATTAAATTCCTCCCCAGTAAGGCACCAGTCCCCGATAGCATGATTCATCGCGTCAGAGTTAGTGCTATTCGCATGCCGCCGTGCGCTCACGGGACTAACGCAACGCTATGCATCTTTACAGAACTCGACAGTCTGGATTGTAGTGTAGAAGGGGTGTAACAACAACTCGCCAACCTTGACGACACCAAGACTGTTGCGCTTGACGCGCGCGCTAGTTTGCAACCATAAGGTCACCGGTTCTAATCTGTGTAGGGGCGGGCGCCTTCGCGGTATCCTCAGCCCACGCGCGACCGGTGGTGGTCGTGAGGTAGCGAAGCGCCGTTGCGGCGTACAGCTGGCGATTTATCTTTGTACTGTTGAAGTCCTTATCGGCCATCATCTCGCCTGCCGTAACTCAGCTGTTCAAGGTGTCAATGTCCGAAGGTTCATTGCCGATTGAGTGGAAATGCTCAGTGGTAAAGCCGATTCCGTAAGGCCGACCACAGCTCAATTTCTTTGGTATCCACGGGAGCCAAAGTTGCCGTGCTGATTGTGAGGAACAGTTTGCTACAGCTGTTCTGATCAAAAGATCTCTTGATGCCCGCACAACACGGTTTCATGCCAGGCCGCTCACGCATCATCAAACTGCTCGTGAAGAGGTATAAATGGTTGTAGGCAGTGAACTAGGGGAAGTTCATCAACGTGATTGACATCGATTTCAGTAACGTGACCGACAACATAAAGCATGAGGTACACCGCCTCAAGCTCAGAGTGTGCGATGTTGGTGGATCACTGTACTAGTGGATCCGCAAGTTTCTCATTGGACGAAAGTGGAGGATTCAGGTCGATGTCCACCTGACCGATTGATACCCTTCGACCTGTCGCGTACCCAAAGGTACGGTGCTGTGGCCTACAGTGTTCCCAAGGAACAGCAATGATCTACCCCAGCATCTCCGGTTGCTGGGTGACTTGTTTGCAGACGATCTGAAAATGTGGAGTGATAAGCACATACGACGACTGTGACTCACTTCAACAAGACCGGACTGCATTTTCGTGTGATCTGCAGAAGTTCGCATCGCTGTCAACCCATCCAAGTCGGTATACATGAGCATGGGGAAGGGTGATGACAGCCGAACATACATTCTCGATGACCAACTGCTACATCCCACACTTTCCATGAGGGACCTATGAGTACTCTCACGTTGTGACTTGTAGTTTGTTGACTGACTATATCGTAACGGACTGTGTATGCTCTGGGAACTCAAACGCAGTTTCTGTATCTGGTCTGAAGCGATCGCCACTCGCCTCTTCTCCATCGTCAGACCAATGCTATAGTACGGCTCGTCCGCCCATTGTCATATCACTCGAGGTGAGGCGCAGAAAATCGAACGGGTCTAACACGTCACTATCAGGCTCATCCAAAGTTTGCGGGTCTCACCGCACGAACATAGGTGCAAGGGACTGGAACTACATCCTGGCCTATCCTCGGGTGTGAGTCGACCTCATCATGACCTACCGCATTCTGCAGCTAGGTGGCTTCCCGATGCTGATGACACAGTTTCATTTGCGAATACTTTGCGGCACACGCAGACACCAGTACAAACTTGTCACCAACTACATTCCAAGGTATCTTGTAGTACAGAATTTGAGGCGAGTTCCACATCCCCTGCGCTATGAACGACGAGTGGTAAATGTTGGGAACAGTTTGCCGGAGTACAGTGGAAGCAAACGCAGTGTAGCAGTTCAAACGATTGTTGGATATGCATTTCTATAATGTTAGATCCCGAGAAGGATTATCCACTAATATATCACATTTGTGAGTCCTAATGTACTGTGAGTTACACGTTTTTAGGATAGCATGTGAGAAAGTGAGCAACGATCAGGGTATTGACAAGTAAAAGATGGTTTACTTGTTTTTTATAGATATTTTGGATCACATTTTGATGGGGTTGCCCAGATTCAAAATCTTACTTGCTCCCACAATAAAGTGTTCAATATTGCACCATGTTCAGTATCGAGCGTGTCAGGTGGTGTAATTCTGTAGCAACGTGAAAAACGACTTAATGTGGAGTACAACAATGGTCACTTTAATAACAAAAGACTGATAGACAGACATAGACGTCAACTTCCCCCAGTGCTGATTACCAGAAGAAGTACACTCTGATGAGGTCTCTCAAATTACCATCAGTGAAGTTAGGACTGTAGGAATTAGGCGGCAACTAACATACCCACTGCCCAGGACCTAGCATTACCGTCCAAGCGGAAACCCTGAAGTACTAGTAATACAAGCCAAGACGTTGTCATCAAAAGCCAGGGCAACTTGGGAGGACCCGGGTCTAGAGCTTTTGCAGAAACAAGTCACGCGGTATCGTCCGTACTTTTATCCTGCTTGTTCCACATTTCAATAATCATAAAGCTTTTTATAGAAACAGAAAAGGATCTAAAGTCGACTGTTCGATCGTCTGACTCAAAGCTAACTTGAACTGAAGTTACGAGGTTGTAGATCTGGCCAAAACGCGTTGTCTACGAAGGATGAAACGTGTGGTAGTAGATACACTATGATGTAGATTTGACGGAACAGATAATCAGACGTTGCATGCATTTGAAATATCGGAAAGGACAGTGCGAATCCGAAGCAAAACGACAACAGCGCGGCGTCTATAAAACCCCAACAGAACAAGCAGCAAGGATACCGCGCAGCCGCAGAGAATAAGGCATGTTTAGCGAAAAACAGAAAGATGTGATGAGAACTGGCTACCGGAATGGATGCGTTGGGTCACAGATGCGAGCCAAGCGGATTGCCGGAAGTACATCGAACCGACTAAAACAGTGATGCCGTAAATAACCGATTGCGTTAATGGAGCACATGGGTCAGCTTAAACTGGTCGAACAAGATGGAGGATGAATGACGGAAAAGATGAGGAAACAACAAAAGAAGAAATCAACCAAAAAGTCACAGCGGTAAGCTCTTACATTAGCGAATGGAGTGGATGCAATGGAATAAGAACCATCGTGGAAAGGCTTCTCGTCCATGTGGGTTAATTCAACCATAGAAAAACGAGGATTTTCCCATCCAGGAGAAAACGGTAACGGCTGCGAACGAGATTGATCGCGTAATTTGGTAAACGGAGTCAAGGGTTCTGCAGTTGGAGCCCGCTCAATAGAGATGGGTGCACCAGAACTCGGTTGAGACATGGAGTTACGTCGCTTCAAGTTTACGAATCCGTCAGGAGATGACTTGTCAGCTTGTAGGTTAAATGTAGAAGATCGGGAAGATGGACGAGTTTCACATTTGACCTCAAGATGCGGGTTTGCGAAATCGGAAGTTGGAGCTGTCAGCGGAGTAGGAGAAGCGAAACATTGCCAAGACCGGGTCTTTACGGTTAACTTGATCTCAATTCTAAGTGGGGACAGTGACCGGGACAAATATTTGTTGGTTCGGAGCTTGGTAGGGTGGATTGTGCCCTCAGTTACACAGGGACTATTGGGAGGGGATACAACCGGGCCCTGTGATTGAATTGGAAGCTCATTCACTGAATGTCGAAACTGAAAGTGAAAGGAAACATGTTGTGACAACAATGTCATGCCCAGTCACAAAAAGCTGTTTATCTAAATCTACTATTATATCCCCGCGCATTGTCTTTCCGCGGCACGTGAAATCTTGTGGGGCGTGAAAAGTAAAACATAACAGAAATTGCCACTCAAACGGTAGTGCCACTGTTCTTGTAGTGCGTGATAAGCCCACTCAACTCTGTCTAAGCTCATTGCTCTGATGAAATTGCTGACCAGTGAAATACAACGCAATGCATGTGATCAAATGGATAGCTATTCTGACAAAAACAAGTTAGATGCAACCCATTCAAGATTCTGCGCAACAACAAACTGGTGAAACAAAAAATGTTGGTTAGGCCGGGTGCGTACAGAGGAAAGCGAAACTAAGTGTGAAGATGCCAATCAGTTAGGCGAAAGCCAACGCTTAGCCGTTTGAAATAAGTTGGTAACGGATCAAGAATCCAGGAGTTAAGAAGGGTTTGAAAACAGCCGTTTGGTAAATAAATGCCGCGATAATTATGCACGAGCTCATTCGGCCCGACGAACGCTTTGTAAAAACCGAAACATTGCCCATCAAACATATCAATCGATGTTTTCCAATCCTTCCGAAAGCAGTCCTTAGTTTTGATAATTTTTCAGCGCTTGCCTATAAAAGTGGCACGCAATATGAAGCATAAAATAACAGGTTACAAGTAATGGCTGCAATGAAGTTTAAAATTTCGGGACACGATAATCCGGGTGAAGGAGACCGAGTTAGCGTACCGGCACATAACTTTGTTCCTCAATGGATGTGGATTTAACCATGACGGCGCGTAAGAGTGCGTTCAACAACAGCGGTACACATACAGATGGCCAAACGTAGTCAACCGCCTTAGATTCGATTGACCGACCTATCCTACAAAAAGTGACCGACCAGGCTGCTTTTTTCCATCTTAGAGTGGTTCCCGAGGCCTACGGAAACCTGCCCTATGAGTATGGCATGAAAAATGGGACACGTCCTAGTTGTTTCATATCCGTTTCCTTATCGTGACTGAAATGATCATAAATGTGACTTTGTTGTGGTTTCCGCTGATTGTACGCTTAATCTGCTGCTAGTGCGCAAGCTGATCAGCTGACTTTCCAGGTTAGAAGACAGAGGCCTCAGGCGAAAAATGTATTGAACACCCGGCAAGCAGTATATACAATCAAATCTGGGGTTGAATCAATAGTTAATAACAAAGTGACCTAGCGTTCACCGGCAGGCTGTAAGGCAGACCATCCTCATTGGCAGCGTCCAAGGTGAAACATCATCATTAGCCGGTTCTCAATGTTGGGTCAACTAGCCTCGGGCTGCGTCCGGGACAAACGTTCCGGGCTAATAACAAAGGGGTTGTGGCTCCCCTTTGTATCCTGGCGGTATTTATAAGTACCACTTTGGCTGTTGAACTGTTCGCTGAGCTTGGCAATTTTGTTGCAAACGTTTCGTCACCAATCGAGGTGACATCATCAGTGCGTAGTGGAGTGGCGTGCAATAGCGTAGAGTAGCGTAGAGGAGCCTCTCACCGAGGCTAAGTAATGCGAACGGCCTTTCTCAGCAATTCAGAATTTATCGGTCTCGCTAAGTAAGTGCTCAGACGCTGAACACTTGCGATCATCTTCCGTCGGTAAAGCTAAAAGGGAACTTTGTCATGTTCTTCAAAACAATCGCTGATTCTCATATTAATTAGGCATGCGCGATCGGCGATGACTTGTGCGTCCCACAGATCCATGCGGTATATTGAGCGGCACTTTCCAAGCACCATACGGAAACAGCTACATCGGAGGTCAGTGTTTGAGAGTCCGATATACTCTAAGCGTTCACTTCATCGGAAATTCAGAATGCGTCAATCTCCTCTTTTCTGTTAACAGCTCAGTTCAGATAGCATGGATCATTGGGACCACGGGTGGATTCTAGTGACTGAGGAGCACCATCCTAGCTTGATGATCCGCGACCGACAGCAACATACTAAGAAGGTCCACCAAAACTCGTCTGGGGCATACGGTGGCTGCAAGTGTACTTCTTAAGACGGCTGACAAACATGCACAACGAGTTTCAAGGTAGAAGGATCTAGCTCAAGCGGAGCCAAAGGTGACGTAGTAGTCGCATTCCAGAGACAGATCTGCTCTCCATCGACCGAATAATCCAACCAAAGGGCTCTGGTGCATTTGATCAAGAAGATCTCCAAGTGCCTGATTATGTTATGGATGCGTTCAGCCACAGAGAAGAGTGCCGCGAAACAAGGAATGATATCGCGATCAGCCCTCTGCTGATTTCATTCTTTTTCGAGTCTCTGAACAGGGAATCGCCTCTGCAATCGTTAGGTATGACAATGTGAAAGTTAGGTTATCTGTCAAAAAAGACTTAGCGTCACTTCAAACTGAGTAGTTCAAGGCCGGCTTATTGCGTCAGAAAAAGCCGAAATGTGAGTTCTGTGGTTAGCTTACACCACTTTACAAATGATGTGTACTGTATAACAGAGACACGCGTACAGCGTAGCAGTGTCCGAATGCGCTTGCGACTAACGTGTCCAGATTCCAGTGACGTAGCTTACACACCGTGCGTATTCGGTTTTGTCGTGTTCATGGTTGGCAGTGTCTGAGCACCGATTCCTGCGAAAGACTGTGCTCAGGTATGGTCAACTGGAATGGCATGTGCTGCTTCACCTTGTGTTTCGCTGGGCGAAATCCAGGTGTGGCCTGTGAATGCTGTGGCAGAGAGTCATGAAGAAACCCACGGAAAGGCTGTATGGAACTGATACGTAACATGATTGGGGAGCGGTGCCTTCACGCCTAGCCACATCATCCGTTGCATTTCGTATGGGATACGGAAATAGTCCCGAAGTCGGTGGCATACTTGCCCTCATTTCTTTAATTCGAGTCCTTAATTTTCTTTATTAGCTAATACCATAATTTTTTCTTGGCTGACACAAGTCAAGGCAGCCGTATTCGTCATAATTCGATGCATAAAACAAATTGGGTATCTGAACTGAGCTAAACAGATTGTACGCAGCGCAAATAAGGATCCGAACTGCGAGCGACAGAGGATAGCCGACAGGAACAGCATACAGTTCAAAGATTCAAGCTGAAAATTCATTTGTAAATTCCATAACAGGGAGCAAATCGGTAGAAAATACTTTTGAAAGACTTCGCAGGCCAAATAGACCAGAGAGAACCGGAGACACAGGCTAGCGCAATACGCACACAATTTTGCAACGCAAGTGCGCGGCACATTCAATAAGAGCAGAAAGTTTCGTGATCCAAGGATCAAATGAGAAGACTATAAGGCGAGTATTGCACAACTAACTACTAATCGGTGTAAAAGAGTAAAGCCGAAATGTGAGTAATCATTCCCAAAGTGTCACAACGAATAGGAAGGAGGTAAACACAGCAACATCGGATAAGTGGCTCAATGACAGAAGACAGTTACAGCAGTTGCAGTGGAAATGGCTCACCGTGTCGTCGGATGACAGGGCAGTAGCCAAGGGTTTGACCACTGAGCTTGGACGCACGTCGGATGGCGATGTGAGCACTTGAATCCCGGATTCAACAGAATGCGCCAACGAGACTGACAGGATAGAATGAATGATTGGTACACTTTCGAAAGAAAAGTCGGGGTCCATGGGTAAAACGTCTTCGTAGAGCACACCTTCTGATATGACTGTGGGCTACGAGGAGGGGAGAGAGAGAGAAGGCAAAGAGAAAAGACAGCGATTAGACAAGCAAGTGGAACAAGCGGAATGGAGAATACATCTTAGTGCAGTTCATGGAGCATGATGAGCGGGGCTAAAGGACCAACTTGTTTGAACGAATGACAAGACCAATGCAGGACCCGTGAATAGATCAAAGGAATAGAGAGAAGGAGTATTAAAGTAACACGGATTTATCCAAGAGGCAAAGTAGACCAATTGTGAGAAGGAATAAATTGGATGGCATTGGAATCGTGAGAAATGGTGGAAAGAGAGAGCCCACGTAAGGAAAGGAATAACAAGCGTTGGTTTCAGCAACGAAGCTGTTTAAGAATGGTGAGAAGGATGGAAGAGCTACCACAGAATCGGTTTGCATAAGAAGAAAGGCGTAGAAGCTACAACTGCTGCAAACAAATTAAACTGGCGAATAATCGACAGACAGTGAGCACCCAAGGGGTAATAAGTAAACGTGGAAACTAGGGAGAGTAAATGAAGTGTGACGAATTCATTGAGAAAATTGGCGATTTAGAGGGGCAGATGGGAAATTATGGTTTATGGTGGTTGTGAAAATAAGAATGGAAACTGTTGATCATGGCGCGCGGTGACGGCCGAGTGAAAAAAATTGCAGAACGCCAGGAAGAGTACAGATACAACAAACAGACCGGCAAAAAACACGACATTCGACAAGCTCACGGGCGTCCTCCTTAAGAGCTCAACAATACAAGCCGCGTATATATATATATATATATATATATATATATATATATATATATATATATATATATCTGTTTGGCCCTGAAGGGTAGAGTGTACAATGCAGCGGTACGTTCGACCCTACTGTACGGTTGCGAAACCTGGCCGCTTAGAGCAGCGGACCTGAAGAGGCTAGTTACGTTTGACCACCGGTGCCTTCGTAATTTAGCTCACAACTGGTAGGAACACCGCGTGAGCAACGAGCGTGTTTGACGCCTCGTTTACGGCACAGGAAAAGGAAATGAACCGCTCAGCACCGTTATTTCACGCATCAGGCTCCGATGGCTCGGCCACGTGTTACGCATGCCAGCCCACCGACTCCAGCGACGTGTGTTGTTTGCGCGCCGGGGGTGTGGATGGAAAAAGAGGAGGAGTGGCCAAGCGATGACTTGGTCAAGAGGAATAAAGGCCCTCACTTCTGAGCTGGCCTCAGTTGGAGCGTCTCGGCTCCCTGGTTGGGGTCCGAAAGACGATGAACACGTTTGGTTGGACACACTTGCTGATACGGCTAGGAGCTGACCTCAGTAGCGTCCGTGCTGTGAGTTTCTTTGTCCCACCCCATCCCTCTTAGCCTGCCCCTCCAACCACGATCTCATTATTTAGCCTTCTATAATTTAGCATAGTAATTTTATTTGGTGCACAGCAGCCGGCTGGTAGCTTACCGGAACGATGCCCATCCGTTACCGGTAGCTCAGTCAGCATGCACCAGTTGCTTCTTTTCTCTCCTTTTTCTATGTATTGCGGCACAGTAGCTGAGGTGTTCCTCACCAGCTAACGTGTAGTATGATGATGATGTATATATGTTTGGCTACACGTTTTAATGGGCGGAGAATGCGGCCATAGCACCATATGTAGATGGGTCAGATTTGCACTCTCCGGCAGCCTAAAGGGTCAATTGGTAACAGATCCGACTGGTATCAGCGCAATATTGATGAAAGTTCGTCGATGCTTCGGATGAGATAAGGTTGCGACCTTTATTAGCACGTGTGGTCCCACTATGTGTCATCCGGATGACCTAGGGGATCCGTTTTATATCGAAATAGCCTCCGTGATTTAGGCTGTGCAGAGGAACAACCCGCTATTCCTACTGAGCGTGTTCAACGCGCGCATCCAGCGTGGTAAGTTCGCCACCGAACTACGTAATTTGATGAAGTTGAATTTAATAGTTAAAATCGATAAGGCGACAGACTGGGTTAGTTAGGTCGCGATAGGTACGGGAAAATTACACGTCCAAGGCCATCTCGTCCATCCGCAGGAGCAGCAGATTTCCACTGTAGAGCATGATCATTACATCATTAAACACGTTACCTAGAGGTGGGAAACACCTCGGCTACTGTGCCGCAAAACATGAAGGAAAAAGAAAATAAATACAACAGTTTCATGTCAGCTGAGCTACGAGCAACGGATGGGCATCGTTGCGGTAAGCGACCAGCCGGCTAATAGGTAAAAAGAAAAAAGTTATTGTGTTTACGCTAAGAAATGAGATCGTAGGTGGAGGGGGAGGGACAAAAAATCTCACAGCAGGAAGGCCACTGAGGTCGGCTCCTTGCCATATCAGCAAGTGTATCCAGCCAAACGTGTTCATCGTCTTTTGGACCCCAACCAGGGAGCCGTGAAGCTCCAAGCGAAGCAAGCTTGGAAGTGAGGGCCTTAATTCATCTAGACCAAGTCATCGTCTGGCCACCCCTCCTCTTCTTCCATCCACATTCCCGGTGAGCAAACAACGCATGTCACTGCAGGCGGTGGGCTGGCATGCGCAACATGTGGCCGAGCCATCGGAGCCTGGTGCGTGAAATAACGGTGCTGAGCGGTTCAGTTCCTTTCTCTGTGCCGTAAACAAGGCGTTGAACACGCTAGTTACTCAAGCAGCGTCCCACCAAATGTGAGCCAAACTGCGAAGGCAGCGATTGTCGAACGTAACTAACCTCTTTATGCCCCATGATCGAAGGGGCCAGGTTTAGCAACCGTACATTAAGGTCGAACGTACCGCTGCATTGTACACTCTACCCTTCAGGGCGAGAGTGATGTCGCGCCGCCGCCATAGGTGGCGAAGGTTAGCAAAAGCATTTCGAGCTTTTGATATCCGGTTCGTGATCTCATCTTCAATCCCAAGGGCGCTGATACAACTTCCCAGGTAGTTGAATTTTGAACGACTTCTAGCAGATCCCCACCAAGAGACAGCGCAGGAGGGGATCCCTGCCAATCTTGGAGGAAAACTGCACTTCGATGGTGCAAAGCAAAGCCCGAAGCGGCTGACAGCCAATGCTAATCTGTCCAGTGTAGCTTGACACGTCTGGGAGTTGTCACAGATGAGGGAAATGTCGTCTGCATACTCCAAGTCAAGAAGTCGTTCTCCTGGAAGTAGATCTACACATTCTAAGTCGTGTTCTGTAAACGCGATTTCCATGACTTCGTCAATAGCGAAGTTGAAGAGGAAAGGTGAAAACGTGCATCCATGTCTCACACCGCTGGAGATATTAGAGGGGCGAGGACAGCTTGCCGTAAGCCCTCACTCTGCCCGTGCTACGCGCGTATAATGCTCGGATAATATTAAAATATTTCTCGGGCACATCTTTCCTGAATAGACAATACCAAGGGGCACATCGATCAACCAAATTGAAGGCACTTTTGATGTCGAGGAACAAGACTACGGTGGGCCGCCAATATGAGTGACGGTGCTCCAACAACTGACGCAAAGTGAAGATGTGGTCGATGCAGCCACGATCCCCAACGAAAGCCGACTTGCTCCTCACGAATCCGGCTTTCACGAGCGCCAGTCAGTCTGTGAAGAACTATGGAGGCGATGGAGATCAGATTGATACCTCTATGGTTGCCGCATTCCGAGCGCGAGCCGCTTTTGAAGTTGGGAACAATAACGGAGCGGCTCTAATCGGTTGGGACAGTTTCCTGCTCCATAGTTTCACTAGTAATTCATGTAAATCTTCAACAAGAGCAGAGCCTCCAAATTTGAAGAGGGCTGGAGGAAGATCATCTGGTCCCACGGCTTTATTTAACTTTAACAGTTCGATCTCACGTTCGACTTCTGAGCGAGAGGGTGGATCCAAAGGGACAGCCCACGGAGCAGGGCGATCACTGGTCGGCGAGAAATCTAACAATTCCGACCGATTAAATTCTTTTTAAAGTGCTCAGCCCAACGCTCTAAACGTTTTGATAAGTTGTGGAGAGGCTGCCCACTCTCGTCACGTATAGTTTCACTAACACCAGGTCTCCTGCTGCCCGTTTCCCGTACCAGACGGAATAACAAAGGGCAGCGGCCATTTCCATCTCTGATGCACAATGAGACCACCAGGATTCGCGGTCTCTCTTCGGGCTAGCACGAAATATTGCCCGGAGCTCTTTGCGAGTTTCATTGTATTCGCTTCCAGCCGGAATATGCCGGCGAGCATTTATAATTTCCAGGGACCGCGAAGAGACCCAATGTACATGTTGGCTATTAGACTTACCACATGAGGATTTGCCTGTTGCTAGTAAGGTCTGGTGAACATGTGACCAGTGAGCTTCAATTGTCTCCAGTGAGCGATTACTCAACTCGCATATCGGCGTACGCTGATAAGCATTCAGAACAGCTGGTGTCAATGCGTTCACAGTGTCGTCGTGGGCTTCCGTATGTCAGCACATACAAGTGAATGATCGGTGTCCACACATGTGCTCCAAATCAAGCGACATTTCTGGATGCAGCCTCTCCAGCGCTAACTGATTGCAGTGTGATCGATTTGTGTCCACGGCTGGTGGGCGACGAGTCACCCTCCGGCGAGTGCTGTGTCGGAAGGCAGTGCTCTCAAGAAATTAGCGGGCATCTTCCCACAAATGAAGTAACCGCTCACCGTTATCATTACGTGAACCTACACCATGTTGGCCGCCAAAATGCATTTTATCAGTGGACAATTTTCCAACTTGTGCGTTCAGATCCCCCGCCAACACAACAGTGTCCGTGTTTCTTCTGTGACGAAGGAGCTGGGTCAGTTGGCGGTAGAAGACGTTCTTTACTGAACCATCGCTACAGTTTGTGGGCGCGTAGGCAGCGATGATGAATAGACACCTATTAGTCCCGCGCGACTTCAAAGCTTTGAGCGAGCCAGTCAACCGCACAGCCAACATCCGGCTACTGATTGGAATCTAATCAATCAGAGTAGCTTCAGCCCGGGGACTCAGGGCAATGCCAACACCGACTTGGCCGATGTTCGAAGCTGCATCGTCACGGTATGGGGGCAATGAGAAAATACTGCTAGTGTCACCTGAAGGGGATCGCAGAGTGAGCACAGGAGCTCGAGTCTTGCAGGCGGGTCTCCGATAAACAGCAGACATCGATCGATAGGATCTCGAGTGTTCGGGCAAGTGCTGCCTGTTGACTGATCTGTAGCAATGTGCGTACATTGAGGCATGCCAATCTGAAGGAGGATCGAGAGCTCCAAATGGAAGCCGATGAACTAGAATGGACCGCTTGGTTAGACATGGGCTTGTTGACAGGAGAGGAGTGACGCTCCGCGTTCACATGTGAGTTAAAATTAGAAGACAGACGCCCAGCAAAGCGTGTTGGGGGAGGACCAAGAATCGGGGGTTGAAAACTGGGGGATAATAGTGAAGCTGGAACGGGACTATAAGGGACAAAAAGCGTAAGAGGGGGAATAAAAAGACGGGAAGGCTTAGGCAGTAGCATCCAAACCCCTACCCACCCTGCTCGATGCAGCAGATAGGGCACCGTTGATTATCCTTTGCGGTGGCCAGAGCATCAGAAATTTGTTTTGAAGAGATTCATTGTATTGCGTGGGTAGGATAATGTCAGGCTGCCCATGCCTAGACAGGAGAACGATTAGGGTTCTCAACCAAAGCGTTTGTTCAAAAACCTGACCGTAAGGCAGCGGGTTTGGCGTTGGGCTACAAGCAGTCTGTTTTAAGGAATAAGGTGCCAGCCTCATTCCAACCCCCAATCTGGAGGACCAGGAGGCTGAGTTTGTCTGGCCTCTAACCATTGACCAATCTGGTATGAGTGGCTCTGAAGGTGCAAAAATACACCACGCAGCATAGCTCAATGGATCACTGAGGCACACAAATCATCGCACCACTGTAGGGTCCAGCCTTGCAGCATAAACTTTGTATTTGCCTTCCATCGGATTCTGTTAAGAAACTGCAATTACTCATGCATCGGTGATGTTACCTATGTGGTGGATAAAGGTTTGCGAGCAAATTGCGTAGCTCGGCAAAGGCCAAAACAGCTGCATTTCTTTCTTAGCTACCTTTTCTTGGTGTGCTTCTTGCGTTCCACCTCGTCTTCTCAGTATGGTTATTTTTGGTTATCGTGGCGATGCGAGCTGTAGCAACTGAATCCACCACACTTCAGTACCCGGATTATAGAGGTTTAACTGCACGGCACTGAATTGCAACAACCAGTAAGTTGTTTTCGTTTGGATGCTTTCTACATAGTCAGTTAGTTAGCTAGGTCGAGGCGAGTACATCATTCGAGAAGACGATTAATCGTAACGCAATTGGACATACAGTGTTAAGATACGCTGGAGAACTGTACAGTAAGTCTCGAGAACACCAACAGATACCTAAAATGTCATTATCCTTCCAGACCAAGAGGTGACAAAGCATCACAAATCTAAGAAAGCGAGTGGGCGAAAAGAGAAGTGAAAGATAGCCATGGATACAAAGTCGAAACCAGTCAGGTTTGCAAACGCAAACACTTTCGATCTAATTACTATTGTGTCTCTGTTCAAACCGGTCCTGCGAGTCAAACAAGCGGAACTATGAATAAGTCAATTAGCATGTGGTTGCACATTGGCAGACAACAAAGTCGTGACTTATAAAAATGAGATGTAAGGGGACGTGTGCCGCAAAACATGTGGTCGAATCTCAACGTCGATCAATCTGTAGTGATCACACACTACGACTGCATAAATATGGCAGTGATGAAACCACAGCAATGGTCAAACGGCGCAGACCGAAGACCGAACGGAAAGCAAAGACAATAAAGTTAGCAAATAAAAAGTGCATTCCGAAGAAAAGTGTGTGACAGGCGAAATGTGTGAAGTGTGGAAGTGTTTACAGGCTGAAACAGCGAAACAAAGACTGGATAGATGCAGTAGTCGGATGGAATTGACTTGCGCAAAGCTAAGAAATAGGACAACGCAAAAGGGACCAAGAAACTTACGAAAACTAAAGGTCGATCACGAGCGACGGATATAGGCAGCGCAACAGGCTCGTCTATGCTTTCAGTCCCAAACGCGGGTGCTGTTGAAGATAGAATCGAGGGAGTCGAATATGAGACTGGACTTGAGGTGACCTGGGAATGTGTCACAATACCATCGCGTCCAGGAGAGACGCTGGGATAATGAGAGCTGTCGACGGAATTGACGCTTACGAAGTCGGAGCGAATGCCTTGACCACCAGGAGTTGATGACGGCGGTTGTGGCGGCTGAAGCAACTCGTGTCGAGAGGGTTCAGCGGAACCATTAAGTGAAAGTACGGACGTCTGTAGTGTGCACAGAGCAGCCAGAGCGGAAGTCGGCACAGAAACGCTGCGAACGAAGCAAACAAACATAGGTTAAAACCAAGTTGCTGCCCGACCCAACGACATTGTTATGAAAGGCGCCGTTGAAAGGCAAGAAACCGTGTCAAAAAGTGTAATAGCCGGCAGCGGGATAAAAGCGCCACCGCATGACACATATATAAAGTAAAGTATAAAGTATAATGCACGCCGAGGAAGCCGATCAACGAGCATACAGAGGATATGGCCTAGCAAACGCAAGCGACTAATACGTAGCAAACACTCAAGAGAGGTGCCAGAAGGCTCATTGCCAAATACTAACCGGTGGACCACAGCATTGTTCCCCCGATGTTCCCACCCGATGTGAGCGATACTCCGCAAGCACCGGTGGTCAAACACAGCCAAACATTTAATGCGACAAATTGGTGAACCTGTACCTGCCGTGGTAGCAGGCCGGGAACAGATGACGAGGTGACATGAATGTAGGTGTATACAGTTTGGTCAATTTGCCATTTTAGCTGCACTCTATTCATGGTGCTACAAATTCACATGTCTGTAGTACGCACTTGAAAATATGCAGAGAAATTTTTTCGGAATTAAATCGTGCGGCACTCTTGTGAAAGTATTTAGTTATAACGCATACGAAAGCCGTAGAAAGGAACCCGCAATGACCACAAAATCTGCTTGAAAGACCATGGCGATGGCTATTTCCGCTGCACTACTAGGTCCCCTTGCAGATACCTTCAGGTCCTTTGAATGTCGCTAATTGCCGAGCATAACCCTTGTGAATTGCCCACAAAGAAGAAGGGCGTAGATGAGGGGTGTGCTGCGGCTGTCAGGTCAGTGTCCTAGCTAAATATACTAAACTGAATAAGTTAAGATGAAGTGGGTGCGTGGGTCAGTGGTAGCATGTTTTCTCTTATCCACCCTACTACATGCAGCAGATATGGTGACCCAATTCGCTCCCCCACCACAGCGCGACGACCAATGCAGCATGTGATTATAATCTGTATTCGCGTAATCCACGGTTATTTGTTGGATTGATATACTGCCAATGCGCATACATCTGAAAAAGAAAAGGACTCAGGTCCTCAGCCAAAGCTTTCGACAAAATGTACACCCGAAAGGTAACGGGCCATATGCCTTGAGTAGGTGAACCAACTCACGCAGAATTGTTGGACCAGACTCTTAGCTAGAAGTAAGGTGTAAACCAGCTCCCACCAAGCAATCGTCACGAGGCGTCAACGGCAAGAGTACTATAAAGATGTCAGCCGCCGATAAACGTCTGTCAGGATCACGTCACCACAAGCCTCGGCACGCCATGGACTCTGGTGGGATCCAGTTCCGGATTTGCCTATCACTGTGGTCTCCGTGGAGACAGCCACAGGAGGAATGCGCCTATAGAGGGACCATGGATGGCTTGCGTGCAACCACACACAGCTCTATCCACACACCCCCTATCCAGTGTAAAGCCGAAGGAATAAGACCGGGAGGCATGGGAATGGGAGCCACGTTTCATCAATGAAGCCGGCCCACACTCCTTCACAGGCAAACACAATCACGCTGTACTTGGGGAATCAAGCGCACACAAGGCGGTGACTGGACCGTAGTCCGCTCCACACTGAGTGCATGGAACCACTCTTCGAGCCTAGCACAGCCATGAGGACAGTGCACCTTGTCCCCTCGAGGAACGACCAACAGTCTCCTGGAGCCAGTATGGATGAGGTTGTGGGTAATAAACAGGTAGGCACCCTGTTTATATGCACATCAAGCGCAACCACACCGGGGATAAAAAAGCAACAACGAAGCACTTGAAGTGACATCTTCAAATAACATAGATCGAAAACACCATACGGATATACCGACATAACTCTTGGCTAAATTAGCATACAAAATAAATGGATTCTCAATATATCAGCTTTAAATGCAAGGTGGCAGAACAAGAGATCTAAAAAAAGCATATCAACAAACAAGACAAAATTAACGAAATTAACAGCCTTTCGTTTAAACAATGTGTGCAATAAGTAGATTATTCAGGTAGATGAAAATGGAGGTAACCAAACAAGCATCAAGACAATGTAGCAAACCAATCACCTGAAATAAAGAAACCCAGCATTCAAGCAAGCGATTAATAGATCAAATGGAAGCACGTGTAGCGTATCTAGCATTACTGCGCCGGTACTGCTTAAGTTCCTAGCAAGACTCGTCGTCGTTCCGATACTACTCCCGAATGGCCTCGCTAGTGGCACAGTAGACCAGTCTGAGTAAAACACCCGCAACCGCATGTGCTACAGCACCATGCGCTCGACGTCGATGGAGAACAGCACATCGGCGCCTGTCGCTCCCGCATTTGACGTGTCTTCTCCGCATGCACGAGCGCTTTTGCTTGCAACACGGCAACTGCCTTCGTGATCAGATCGCGCAATTCATGGCGATCAATCATCCTCGATTCCCAAAAGCTAAAATCAACATAAGCATGTGAGGCTCACCTTAATCATGTCCTGGTAACGAACCTCCGGTTTCCTTACAGCTGTTTCGGCATCCGCGTCGAATTCATACGCTACACATGACCGAGCCAACTCAAGTGACTCAGAAAAAATTGCAGTCCACAGCATACAACACTTCAGTGTCTGTAACTATGTCGCACCAGCCGATGCGCAGAATCCGTCGCAAACACTGTTGATGGAACCGCGCGAGAAACCTCACATCTCGCCGGTACGTCGTCTACGTCTCGCTGCCGTATAGAACGGAGAGCATTATGGATTTGTATACCATCAGCTTCGTGCCAACGGTAGGTTAATGGTTATTCCACAGTCGGTACTCAGGCTTCCCGAATATCGCCGGTGCCTTGGATACGCGGATACGAAGCTCACTACTGCTGGTCAGTCGAAAGCACACTCTCAAGGTAGCAGAAGCGTGAGGTGGTTTGCAATACTTTATCAATATATATATATATACATATATATATATATACATATATATATATATATATAACCTAACCTTCGGACATTTTGTACTTATCGCGTATTCACATTTAACCAATTTCTTCCATATGTTCATTTAGCGAGTATTTATGTCGTTATATGCGTTTACTTTATTCGATATCGGCATTTCGAATGATTGGCTGTTGTTTGACATCCCAGGTGTGACTGCGCTTGATGTGCATGTTGACAAGGTGCCTACCTGTCTATTACCCACTACCTCGTTCATACTGGCTCCAGGAGACAATTGGTCGTTGCTAGAGGGGACGGGGTGCACGGTCCTTGTGGCCGTGCTAAGCTCAAGGAGCGGTTCCATACACCCGATGTGGAGCGGACAACGGTCCAGCCACCGCCTTGTGTGCGTTTGATTCCCCAAATACAGCGTGCTTGTGTTTGCCTGTGAAGGAGTGTGGGCCGGCTCCGTTGATGAAACGTGGCTCCCATCCATATGCCTCCCGGTTCTATTCCTTCGGGTTTACACTGGATATGGGGTGTGTGGGTGGTGCAGCGCAATCCATCGCTGGTCCCTCTGTAGCCGCAGGCGTCCTGTGACTGGCTACGGTGACAGTCAAATATATATATATATATATATATATATATATATATATAGTTAAAATTAATAATGATCGTTATGGACTAAGTGGTAAACATACAACTTAGGTGTTCAGCATACAAAGTTATGGTTCCATAAGGGTATCATGGTGAACGTTCAAGTTACGAAATAACGGTCAACTCAGAGAGGTGATTAGGATACAGAGGTGGTCAACTTCTGAGATTCGATCGTATACAGCGTTCACAAATGAAATCTTACTTACATCCTATATAGTGAGAGCATTTTCCGAGTATTTTCACTCAATCATCAATGAACCTTTGGACATTGACATCTCGAACAGCTGAATTACGGCAGGGGAGATGATGGTCGAGAAAAACTTGAGAATCAGCTAGTGGAACGCGTCAAGCGCAACAGGCTTAGTGTCGTCAAAGTTGGCGAGTAGTTGACGCACCACTTAAGCACCACAATCCACATTGTCGAGTTCGGCAAGGATGGTGCACACCGAACTCGGCACCTACACTTGGTCATTTACCAGCACAGAAGTAAAGTGCATCGCCAAGGCGCACGCACGCTCAGTGCTGGATGTAGGGGCTGTTCGCGTCCTCTAGCACCGGTAGGCCAAGTGCTGGTTTCAGGTTCCGCTTCACATTCGCAAAGATTCTCTTCGGGGCAGTCAATGCAGCGGTTGCAAGCCGCACTTCGAAATGTTGATGCTTGCTCGTTTTCTCATTGTTGCAGACTTTGTTGCTTCTTATACACCTCGTAAGCGCCAACCGAGCCAGAGTGGATGAATCTATCCCACAGTCAGCGCTGCCGCCTAATCAGTTTACCATATTCCTTGTCGAACCAGGGTGGCTTGACCGATCCGACATCCTTACACTTCAGGGGCACGAACCGGGTACACAAGGAGTTTATTCAATTCTTTATAACTACCCAACCGTTTCAGTGAGTGGTTCGGCTGTAATGTTACAGGACGCGATGAGTTTTGCGTAGAGTTCTCCCAATAAAAAGTCACATAAGTATAGTTAACAGCACTGCGATGTGGCGGATCTCACTATCCATGAAATGAAGTCACCATTCTGTTATTCATTTTGGTGGGGCATTGTATCCCAGCAACGCGAAGCTAAAAATGTGGGGAGAATTGGGTCCGACGAAGCGAAAGGAGTAAGAAGAGAGTAGTCGGTCGCTGGTACCCAATGGGCGCGATTCTCTGACTTCGATCCGCTGCATTGTGCGTTGGATGTTCAACCGCAGCATCGAGGTTGTGTCCTCTAAGACAACTCCTTACGTCGGTTTGGGTATCCGGCTAGTATTGCAATCTCTGACAAAAACATGACAACAACCACTACGTCGCACTCATCTGCCTCTGCATATTTTCCTATTTATGCACCACCATCACGAGCTAAACTTAGATTCGTTAATAATTCTTGTTCCTTAGCATTTACTTCACATGCCAATCTCGACGATGTTCAAAGACTCCAGCCAATGGCTCGCCTTCCAGCTCCATCCCCATTCCCGCTGACATCCATCAGTGCCGATCGAGCAAGAGCCCTGCCAGGCGCGTACATGGAGGCCCTCGCTACCGATGTATACTGACGTTCGGAGACGCGATTACAATACTCTAACACCGTAAGTAAACTAGCTGGCAGATGCCTCTACCTATACTCACTCATGGCGACATACAGTAGGTTGTGGAGAGTTTTGTCTACGTGGGAAGTTGCATCACTGTTGACAGGGTTGTTTGAGACGAAATTTAGATGGATATTTCAAGCGCCCATCTTGCATTCTCCAGGCTGAGGCACTTGTGGCGCCGCCACGACATCGGTCCCTCCATCAAAGAGCGGGATTAGTGTACGACTGTTCGCGCTATACTGCTGTATGGTTGTGAGACCTGGTCTCTTGGTACCGAGGACCCGCGCAGACGGTTTTTGAGCATCGTTGCTTGCGGTGGATGCCCCATGTACTCAAAGTGGAAAATAAACAGTGTCTCTGGAGGAGGTAATCACTCTCTTGAGGTACCCTTCTCGCTGTGTAACTGCGGTGCCTTGGACAAGAATTGCATATGTCCGTTTAGCGTCTCAATTTGGTTAGACTCTACTTTCTTCCTTCACCTGTCAAACAAGTATGAATAATTGCGCGCTCTGTAACGTTTCACTGGAACCATTCACCACAGCGAAGGTCTGCCTTCAGTTTTACCACTCAGTTTCATCATCAGTTTCATCACGATCAAAGGCTGCTGGCTCGAACAGACTTGCTCCGGAGCTGTTCAAGTATGGTAGCGAGGCAACTGTCAACCGGTTAACAGCTTTGTTTCCCAAGATTTGGTGCGAAGAAAAGGTTTCATCTCCCTGGGGCGAGTCAATCATCGTACCAATGTTCAAAAAATGCCCGCACCTTATGAAACTGCAAATAGTTAGCATCCATGCTACTCCACAGGCGAATATAGATTTGTGAACTATACTACCGGGAAGAAGAGGCTGGTTTCCGCACCAATCGAGGGTATGTAGACAGGATGTTTAGGTTCCGCCAATTCCTCGAACAGCGCCACCTTTACCGCCAACCTATCATTGTCGCTTTTTTGGACATCCAAGTCCGGCTCAACTCGGTCAATTGGCCTGCTTTATAGTGTTGCCTGCAAAAGAACATGGTATCTGAAGAGTAGGATGCTATCTTTTGAACAATAGATAGTTATCTCTCAGGCAGAGTGAGAGCTTACGACAGTTTATCCCTATTTTTCACCGTTACTAGCAGCAACAGGGATGCCCCATGTCCCACTTTCTATTCAACTTTGCGGTTGAAGATGTCTGATTAAGCGCTCTGGAAAGTTACCAGGGTTTGGGCGTAAAGCTTCTTCCAAGAAACCGAGTGAGTGACTTGGACTATGCTGATGATATTGCCGTATTCGGTGATGACCTATAAGTTACGCAGGTCATTTTAAACGGCTTGGTGTTTGAAGCTACCAAGTATGGCAACACCTTCGCCCCATCGAAATGCAAAGTCCAACTCCAGGATTCGCATGCACCTGAACCAATGCTGACTCATGAAGGAACGCAGCTTAAACAAGTGGACAGCTACATCTATCTGGGGAGCTGTGCTCCTGCTTATGACACCAGTAGAAATGATATGTAACTTCGTACTGCCAAAGCTCGATCAGCTTTCGCCAAGCTGAAGATCTGTAGCGTCGTCGTGACGCTTCACTCGCGGAAAAGGGCAGGGGTTGTAACGTGTTCGAGCCGCGCGATTGCATAACAGTGAGTCCTGGTCGATTGTCGTAATTGACATGCGTCAAATTTCGGTCTTTGATAATGGTTGACTGCGGAGGATAGCTCGTGTGTGGTGGGAACACCGCTTTTGCAATCACTAGGTTAAATGTCGCATCCTAAGTAATACGGGAATCCTTCTCGACAGGTTAGTACCGCTGGGTCACATCCTACGCACGTCGTGCGAGTGACTACCACGGAACACTACTTGCTCGCACAGGACCTCAGCGGAAAAACAGTGTGATGGACAAAATCACCAAATGGCTTCAAAATGTCAAAGCACTGACGACTTCCATTCTAGGCGTCGTCGGTCCCGTGTGTCTTCCGTACTGGAGAGCTAAGGATGAAGAATACCGCTGGCTGGAATGCTTGAGGACAGTGCAGAATCGAATTCAAGAGGAGATTCGTATGAATTTATGCTATATTTTTACTGATCAAAACGGCAATCATTGAACTGACAAAAAGGGAGATAAAACGGCGTATGAACCCATTGAAACCGTTTTATCCACTTCTCTGCTGGTGGTTTTGTACCAATGCCATGATTTTGATGGCTCTGTGTCTAGCACATAGAGAGTTGACATTGTGTGTAAATGAATACATCTATGTGCATATGGCCATTGAGTGTTACCCAGTTTGATATGCCCCAAGAGGCGCACATAAAAACTTTAGCAATGTTAAATGTGTTTTGTACGGATGACCTCTTCTCATCGCGAAGAAACAGAAAAACAATAAGGGTGCGCAACTCGAACAAAAAAGAAAACGAGTAAGGAAAACCGCACATTGATATGACCAGCAGAAATCACAAGCGGAGCGACGAAGGGAAGAGCACTAGTAACATAGGAATGGGACAAGTCGAGCAGCTACATTAACAGGTGAATACGTGTGAATAAGAATTCGGCGGTAGAATACCACACATCAGCTGAGGAAAGTTATGACATTTGTGAAATTAAACAACATAACAGTGGGTTCCTTAGTGTAGTTATATCGGTACCATTAAAGCGGAACGACAAGAACCCTGGTCATTTTATGTATGATGCATTGCAGTCGGTCGGAGACGGAGCAGCACCGTCCCCAGTAGTTATCTTAACTCTCAGAGTGACGTCTATAATGAAACAACAGTATTTATGAAATGTCAGTGACGTCATCGATTCAAATGCATACATTTTGTCCAACTTAAGGAAGCCCACGCATGAAAAAACAACGAAAATTAGGTACGCTAGGCAAAAATCAATGGACGTTTTCGATTAATCATGCTTGCATTTCGAGAGACGAATTCTAAGTGGAATTCGCAAAGGCCGTTAATCCGAAAATTCGTATCATGCAGGCAATGTATCCCTGAAATGTGCAATCGCAAAGAGCATCGAAAAACCGAGAACATTCTAACTGTTTGTGGAGTGTTAATCAAATCGAAGAGGGTAGGACACAACGCATTCCAAAAAATGAACGCTATAAGCGTAGTTGAATTACCGCTCACCCCGAAAGCCACGCGAACTTTTGAGCAAACTTCAGCTGCCGTAGAACAGACATTAATTCTCTGAGCATCAAGAAGAAATAAGTTAGCGTGAGCAGAGTTGTATGAACAAAGGTGAGATAGGACGAAAAGTAAGCTGGAGAAGAAAAATCGTCGGAATTCAACCTGACAAGGCTGACGATCGCTAGCAAAATGACACGAGTTGGTGAGATGCGAGCACAAAAGCGGGTTGTCCCACAAGGAGTATATCAAATAAATTGAAAACGTGATCAAAACAGTGATTGACCAAAAATAAATGTTGTGGATTGTTCTGTGCATAACTAGGTAGACGTAAAAAGCGAACGTTTGGCTTTAGAAATGACGAACAAAGACCATAGTAGATATGAGTAGGTACGAAAAGATGTGAAAGATGCGGACGGAGCTTGAAGCCATTCCACTTTAGGCAAGGGAAACCGCACAGATAGGAAGTAAGAATAATGAATCATTCTCTCTTTGATACTTAGGTTCTAGAAGTACTCGTCGTGTAAATGGATTGGGATCTAGTTGAGGTGACTTCCAGTGGCCACTTCAAGCAGCCGGACCGTATTGGAGCTTGGTGATGCAGCGGTAAAGCGTTTGACGACAATTCGTATGCCTCAGATTCGAGTACCCCAACGACAAGGAAGAAAGCAGTCGCAGAGTACAAAGTCGGAAACGAGGAAAAACCAACGTTTATTTTGTCTACCTATTGAGGTTCAGAATGTAGCGGTTGTGATGAATTCGATTCGCGGGAAAAAATACGGGAAACGAAGTTAATGCACGATATCTACACAAACGTGTGTTACTATCAAATCGGCTTCGTTGAGTTTGCGTCTGAGCGTCTAGGCCAGAGGACATTGCGCGCCAACACTCGGTTCGATTGGGCGAAGTCGAAAGATAGGGATCTATGACATGACAAAAGTGTGGGAAGAATCGGTTGGAAGAGTTGACGGAGTTGTAATCTGCCGCACCTGAAAGTCAACTGTATAAGGAGAGATTTCATACAACAATTCGATTATAGATAGACCCTCGTATTCCTAAACCTGCATTACACTGCCATTTTCCCGTCACCGATGGCGGATTTTACAACGGAGCACCCACGAAAGAGCAGGATGAGCCTTACGTATGCCTGTGATTATAATGCATATTCTAATAAACCATAACTCAGGGGATAAATTGCATAAAAAATAACGACTCAGAAAGGGTTGAAAAAGATAACTAACAGCTACAACGGCCGAATCAGAAGGTGATTTTCGATAGAAATGAAAAATTGCAAGTGTCGAGTAAGACGCATAGCGGGACGGATAGTCAAAAGGGCATCATGAATGAAGTGCGAAAATGGGTCTGACCGTTCTAGATTCGAGTTATTATGCCATACAAAAATAAGTTCTGTAACAAAGCGTGTTGCGTTCTCAAAGGCACATAAGTCGTACTATGGGGCGTGTATCACAGAATTCGCGAGTACATTCAGGCGAAGTGATATTCCAAAAAAACTCCATTATGTCACGGTTCTTAGATTTTGTTCACACGGTCTCCAGGATGACCTCCAAGTCATACGCTCATTGTCTGAACGCTTAACGCAAGGCATCTGCAAGCAACACCTATCAATTACTGAGGCTATGTACACCCACCATTTGAAGCTGGGGTTGTGTCTACAAAAGCGATACATACGTTCGTTACCAAGACCATAGCTAACGAATATTGTTGTCTACCCATTTTCTTGTCACTGGGGCTACTTACTTTGCATAGTCGATCTTTTTTGTACTACTTTTCTTTATTTCACCTTGACAATAATCTATAACGCCGGTCCGTAGCCTTAAGGTCACAAACCTACCTTGTAATGCCATGGCGCGGGTGCGAGCTTGCGTAGGGATTGGGCGACTCTTGAAGCATTCTTAGCCCATGTGCGACTGCTGTTGTTTGCGCTGCAGCGAAGAGTCGGTACTGTTGATAACTTTTTACGATCTATAGCCTAGCCGTGAGATATCGCTTTCGGAAAAGCCAGAAATCAATTTCTCAGCCCAACTTGACGCCAACAACACATCGCAGTCATTTAAATGTTTGGGTCTGATGAGAGTATACTCGAAAAGAATTCTCAATCCAGAATTTATTGGCTCTTGATTCCTGCCAGAGTAAAGCTTAAGAACATAGAAGATGGTTTCGAAGTATATCGCTGTGAAGTGTTAACGCACAGTTGCGAAGGAAGTCAGGAATAAAGGGCAAAGAAACTTCCAGTTGTAAGAAAAGGACCAGTATTGCACCAAAAAATTGATGAGATGCATCCCTAACAAATGCGGTTAGGCTCACAGACTCAGTATCGATACGATGTATGGAAGAGTACAAAATACTGGTGTGTCGCTCTGATGCAGCAAAACTGCTGTATGACAAACAGCCAGTTAAGGGAGAGAAAAGTGTTGGACGAGAACGCTACTAAAGATACATGTTACACCGTAGAACGTGGTCATTAATTTGCATGAGTTTCAGCATGATGCTGTCAGTGTCACTTACTCGCCAGACTTGTCACGATGGAGCTCCACTAGTGAATACGTTTGTAGGAGGCCCTCCACTGGAGAATTTTCACACGGGTGAGTTTTCAAGACAGGCTTATTCGACGCAGAGACACCATTTGGTAATTCCGGTGGGTTCAAGCCATTAGATATACGGTGGTCTGATGGAGTGAGTGGACCAACCGGACGAGCATGAAACGCACTGCCCTCGTTCGGAATGTGTGCCATTTGGTTGGAAAAAGGACTCCCTTGGCTAAACGGCCCGTTCAAGTCAACCATCGTGTGTGGAATGACCACACTTGAAAAGAAAGAGAAGACAAAATTAAAAGAGTAACTGATGGAATCAGTGGATTAAGTAAAACAGAGAACATTATTAGATATATATATTATTTAAAACAGTTAGTCCCCTTCAGTAGTTTGAACAACGAAATGAGAAGATGAATATTGGCATTTCGTATTACCTCATCAGTACCAATACAATAACAGGGAAATCCTTTTATATGTCTTACAGGGCACAGTCAAGCCAATCAAATTTATGGTTGTGGTCATTGTTGTTGGGATTAGGACCACGGCAACCGCAGGTTGACAACTAATTGCTTTTGGACACACAAAGCTAGTCTAATTCGGCTTATCGAGACGGCCACGGCAAATAGTAGAAGGCGTGCATTGGTATGACGTAACAAGATCCGGAACGCTGATAAGGGATTAACCCGGTGACGAGTCGCCAAGATGTGCCTGCCTATGGAGGACGCTGGCGGCTCACTTGAGCACGCATCATCGGAGGTGGATTGAGTAACTTCGCGCTGAACCCAGTTTGGTAAGTGTTCCTTCACTCTAGAATCTAAAACCCGTTCGGTCCTGCCGATGTAACTGATACAGCAGTCACACACGAATTGGTAGACACAATGTGATTTGGCGCCGACGGGTTCATCTTCCTTTACTGAAGGTAACGGCATCTTTCGGGTTCTGTTGATTATTACCGCCTCCGCAGCACAGTATGTACGCTGAATGGCCGAGACAATGCGTTTAGTTATCCTTCTCGCTGCGGTGTCACCTATGAATGGTAGCTCAATGTACACCTTTTTCTTAGGGGTTGTCAACACCATCTCCTTGGGCGGTCTAACTTGGCTATGTTTATCTATGAATCGCTTTGGGTAGCCATTATCCATAAATGTTTTAGTGATCAGCTCAAACTCCTCAGACAGGCAGTCGTTGGAGCAGATACGTCTGGCCCGAGTAAATAATGTTTTTACTAGCGCGCGCTTGTGTGCCATCGGTGAGAAGCTAAATTATTATTCAACATCATATATGTGCCCCATGCTGAGGCTGAGGTTGCATTCATGATGCTTCTTCACCGCAGTTGATCTAAACCAACTTACACTTAAACTAGGTCTTTTTAATGTGGATAAAATTCATTACGTTATTTGGTTTGTTCTGCGTACTTGATAATCTTCACGGTACTTGCACACGTCGCTCACGCAAATTGTGGAAAACTTGAGTAATTTTATCGCGTGGTAATTTTTAAATAACTTTTGGACATTTTGTACTTATCACGAATTCACTTATAATCAAATTCTTCTATACGCTCATTTAGCGAGTATTTATGTCGTCATAGCGTTTACTTTATTCGACAACGGCATTCTGAGTGATTGGCTATTGTTTGAGATCCCAGGTGTGGCTGCTCTTGATGTGTATGTTGACAAGGTGCCTATCTGTCTATTACCCACAACCTCATCCATACTGGCTCCAGGAGACTGTTGGTCGTTGCTGGAGGGGACGGGGTGCACGGTACTTGTGACCGTGCTAGGCTCGAAGAGTGGTTCCATGCACTCAGTGTGGAGCGGACTACAGTCCAGTCACCGCCTTGTGTGCGCTTGATTCCCCAAATACAGCGTGTTTGTGTTTGCCTGTGAAGTAGTGTGGGCCGGCTCCGTTGATGAAACGTGGTTCCCATCCACATGCCTCCCGGTCTTTTTCCTTCGTGTTTATACTGGATATGAGGTGTGTGGATGGAGTTGTGGGTGGTCCAGCGCAAGCCATCCATGGCCCCTCTGTAGGCGCAGGCGTCCTGTGGCTGGCCACAGTGACAGGCAAATCCGAAACCGGATGCCGCCAAACATATGTGTATATTTATATACATATATACATATATATGATTTGGCGGCGTCCGTATCCGGATTTGCCTGTCACTGTGACGTCCATGGGGACAGTCACAGGACGCCTGCGCCTACAAAGGGGACCATGGGTGGCTTGCGCTGCACCACCCATAGTTCCACCCACACACCCCATATCCAGTGTAAACCCGAAGGAATAAGACCGGGAGGCATGCGGATGGGAGCCACGTTTCATCAACGGAGCCGGCCCACACTCCTTCAACAAGCAGATCGGAAGCATTCCGGCCTAATTGGGAAACCATACACACCAGACGTACACGAGGCGGGGGCTGGACCGTAGCCCGTTCCACACAGATTGCATGGAACCACTCTTTGAGCCTAGCACCGTCACAAGGACGGTGCACTCCGTCCCCTCCAGCGACGACCCACTGTCTCCTGGAGCCAGTATGGACGAGGTAGTGGGTAATAGACAGGTAGGCACCTTGTCAACATTCACATCAGGCGCATCCACACAGGGGAACTCAAGCAACATCTACTTCTGAAATGCAAGATTACTCATCACGCAGGCAAACGTACCACATACACCGCCTTATTGGCCTGGATTAGTAAACTGAATGGGAACATACTCATGGTGCTTCTATTCCGCATACAATTGTGCCTTCTTCGGCACCTGAGAAACCGCCCTTTTGAGCAGTTCACGGAATTCGCATCGATCAAATTTGCCTTGGATTCGCAACACCTGAAATCAACATGAGTTTGTCATAAACTCACCTTCCTCATGTTCTGGTAATAGTATTTTCGGTTTGCTCGAATGTCGTTCTACTGCACTAAGTTAACCGTACAAAAGCGGTATGAAGATCCTCGTGGAATTCATTCGGTATACATATGTACATAGATTGCCGTCATCTGTATCCAATGGCAGTTCGAATGCAACATATGCACATGTGTTTCCACGGACTTCATTATATATATATATATATATATATGTATATATATATATGTATATATATATATATATACATATGTATATATATATATATATATATATATATATATATATATATATATATATATATATATACAACTTTCGAATGAGGAAAAAGCATACCAGGGAGCCAACACGCCTGAAGTCAAAGGCAGAATCCAACGATCGGATTGCCTGCCGGTATACAATGTCTCCGAGAAGACAAGGGACAGTGACTTTAGTTAGTAGTAAAACATCCGCCACGTCACAGTGTTGTTAAACGGACATATGTGGCTTTTTATAGGGAGAACGCTTGCCAGGCGTAATCCTACCACGTCCTGGAACACTGCCGCCGAACCACTTGCCGGAACGGGAAATACCCAAACCACCCAGCAGGCACTACGACAGAAAGGCCATTCGAAATAGCTAAAGAATGCGGGCCTCAAAAATTATCCAAATAGTTATATCAGCTGTGTGCAATCGAAAAGCAGAGCAACTGATAAGGGAGTTGATTTTGCGATCCACTAGGAATCGCTAGGTGTACCCGAGTTATTGCGCCAGCGCAAGTTCAACCTACCGATCCTTCACATGACTAGAAACAAAGATACCTTCGGCGAAACTCCCTGTTTTAGGGATAAAACTGCTGATTTGAAGGATTCGATAGAGAACAAAGCTATTCATCTGGATGGAAAGCGAGAACAGATAATAAGCCAACAAGCCTCATCGTCCTTTGCTCTTCCTCGGTTTCTTCGTTAATTCAAATACTAACGTTGACGGCATACCACCATCGTTCGTGAGAATGGAGGAAACATGTTATATTGGTTGCCATTAAGTTCGCAGTTAGATAATACATGCAATAGTGGTAGCTCACATTCTCCAGATGTGGGCTAGGCCCTAGCTGGATGGTAGGTTAAGTTGGTGTAGAGTAAATTCGTCACGTTCCTGGCGATAACGAATCCGTAAGTGTTGGAATTTTCGTGTTAATGTTACACCGGCAGAAGTGATGAGCCTAGTTCCCAGGAATGAAACTCAATGATCAGCTTAAATTTGCATTAAAGTTAACAAACAATGTTCGGAGGCAAGATACTTTTACACCGTTTTAGTGCACGCTGCAACAGAATGCTTCTTGGTACCATGAAAAACGAAATCCATCAACCACCCCCATGCATTCGACCACAAAAGATGATCAACGTGATAATCGCAAGTGCTATTAGTGCTCCCGTAAGTCGATGACCAGACTCCGAATAACGTCTTAAAAAGTGCCGAAGAGTAGATAATTATCGTATTGCCGAAAGCGGTTGGTCAATCTAGTTTTAGCCATAACCTCGAAGTAAGCAGCTTTTCAATCCAACGTTCGCATAGCAAAATGATTCCTGTGAGCGCTTTACTTCAGTTTAATAATGCTTGCTACTCGTAGGTACTGGATAAATGCAAATGGATTGATAGCACTTCAATGACCGGATGAAAACTCATAAATAGAATAGAAATGGTGCAGACAGGAGGCCGATGTTGTCCAATCAAGCACAGAGGCGATCCAACGGCCGTGCATTTCCAAATAAACACTTTAACTGATTTGAAAACAAGATAGAAAATCCCTTACTCGTTCTGCTCGTCATCCACAAAGTCATCGTCTTCTAGGTCATCCTCCTCCTCACCATCAGATGAACCGTGAATATGAAACCCAAATTCACTGATGCGATCGCTGATAGAGTCCTAGGAAAAGAAGCCAAAATGGAAAATAGATGTGAGGAACAACGATTCCAGGTACGTAACAGTCAGTAGACAAAGCTGGTTAGAACGGGGAAAACCACAAAAATTTGCGCGGCTAGGTGGGAACAAGTCGATCCGGAAGCAATTAGTTCACTAAATTAGATGTTGAATTCAGTTCAGTAATAAAACAAGGATTCGAATGGCAGTGGACTAAGTTTCTATGACATGCGCTGCTATGATACTCGTGATAATAATGAGCAATCGCCGGATGAACGGAAGACCAAATTGATACACGGAAGAAACATGTGTGAAAAATGCAGGATATGAGTAGTCGATCAGAAATATTCAGATGTGTACACGTGGCCACGACTCCGCGACTGTGCTCAATTGGATAGTCTCCAAACAATGAGGTGGCCGATTCAGAATGCTCTGAACAGCAGAATGGCGCGGACCCACCAGTCTCAGACAAGTGCAACGTGTTGTTTAGCATGATTGTCGATCGGGCACATTGGGCATCTGCCCGACGAGACACAGTAGAGTGAACATTGTAACCCCGCAGAGAAGACCTCGTTTGCGAACACAAATTGGTGAACATCAAAAACTGATAATGACTTCCTACCTTAGGTCAAGGGGACAAAGGAAGCAAATATGCGGTTAGCCCTCCACCAGACCATTACACATAAGGAGTCAACGAGGAATGTAAATTCCATAAATTAATATCTGACCGGAGATAAAAGTGTTGTTAATTCACTTCCCCAGACACTGAACTAACGGTGTTACCTAACTTGGTGATGAAACGTTTGCAACCATAAGACCCAGCTCGAAGAACAACCCAACTCCACTATCTACACCCCGTGTTAGAGATATTTTCAATGACTGAAAACCGAATTCTTCACCCATATTCCCAATAACTCAAACGAATCATCCAGTAACGCAGGATATGCCACAGCACAGGACGCTCTGTCCCTGCTCAACAGGCTAGTGTGTTCTACCACTTCATAATACAAAGGAATGAGCCGCAATCAGCACCGAAGCACATAATAAAAATGGAGAATTCAGAAAATAACCGCACATTAAAAAGATGAAGTACGGAGTAAAAAGATAAGTTAAGGGATGTATCGAGTTATGACGTCCGATACGAATAGGTGCTAGTGAAATTCGATGCAGCAATATTGGTTGCAAAACGGTAAATAAAGAGCAACTTAGTTACCGGAAGAGCTACACGATTCCTAGCAGCCTAAATACTATTCTACATTGCTACTTCGAGTATAAAGGCATGCAGTTAACGATACAGATGCAGAAAATGGACTTAGGCAACACACACAAATCCGATAGCCAATCATTTACCGGACGGCTTTGGGTCATATGCAGAAGTCCATCGGCGGCCAATAGTTCGTCTCCCGCAACACTGAGATCCCAGTCGTCTGGATTCTCCATAGCGGCAACCGGCGCGGTCATCACATGTGAACTGGAACGCAATTTCTCATGGTAAGATTCGGGGCTAGTTGATTGGGGACCCTGTGTTAAAAGATCGGGGATCACAGCAGTGGAACATGGTGACGCACCAGCACACACGCTGATATTTGCACTGGATGAATCAGAGTCAACAGTGGTAACTGTGCCATGCGTTACGAAAGAGTTGCGTGACACATCGTCTCCACCGAACTCGCAACCACCGCCTTCGTGGTCCTCATCAGAGTCGAAGTAGTGTTCAAAATGCTCTTCGTCATTGTCTTCTGATGAGGACGACGACGACCGGTCGAGTGTTGCCGAAGGGGACACATTGACATCGATTGCGGAGGGAGAAGTTTGGCTCTCAAGAGGCGACATACTATGCTGTTCGGTCCGTGTGCGCTCAGAAGCCTCAGTTTGGACGGAGTCTGGACTTAATACAAAGGCCTGTACATGTGAGGGAGTGACGTGGGGAAGCAGGCAAAAGTGATGCAGTGGGGACAGCAGTGAAAATATATGCACTACAAGAACAACAACAGTGCTGTGAAGGGATGTTATGAGCGCAGCTGAGGGAGAAGGGAAATACCACGAAGACATACAACACACACACACACACACAGAGAGAACTGTGGACATGCTTCCCAAGGAAAGGTTCCAGGAGATAAGTGATACAAATGCCTTGATGTACAACAACTGTTACCGGGATAATTGGGTGGGTTTTTGAGCCCATATGATGTGAGACGCACCGAACATAGACAAAGGGATGAAAACGAAAACGCGAGCAAAAAACAACGTCGGATGAAAACTGCACAGTGGGTGAATAGAGACGACAAGAGACTACACAAACAAGAAAGTAGTATCACCTAATCAAGCGAGAAAATTGGCTAAGATCCCGTATGGGTTAAATAGACTGAGAAAATTTTATCCATTCGGAACGCAATTGCAAAGAGAGCCAAAAGCCAATCGTATGGACAGTGAATGACAATGGCGACAGAGCACATGCATCTATAAGGCCAGTAGAGGAATCAACTCGCCCAATTGAGTCTCGAAAGGTTCAGGTTGGATGTTGATAATACAAAAAACCACGACTTACGCTAGTGTCAATGGGTATGAATTGTGCTTCCAAAGAATCTTGCAATATCACCTGCTCGAACACTGTTACGTGGTCGGAAGATGATTTTTGGGTTGATACAGGTGATGCAACATTCGAGACGATGGTCTGGGCACGCACCGGAGGTATTGCACTCCCATTGCACTGATTAGGCGAGTGTTCAGATGCAGAGGAAACGGCTGTTTGGGAAGGAGAATGATCCACATTAGCCACGGAAGACTGCTGTACCGAAATACGAGTGGAATTGTGCCGTAATTCCGCTTGATGGATAGACTCCATCGTTAGCGACGAACACGAACTGCGAGGGGAGGTAGAAGCAGAAGAACATGATGACGTAGAACACGAAGAAGTTGATTTGGAAGGTTGGATGACCAATGAATCAGAAGTGAGGGGGTTTGTCGACGTGTGTATAACACCTGAAGAGGAAATGTGTGATCGCTTGACTTTGGCCTCCAAAGGTGTTGCTTGTTGGAGACCTGGTGGAGATGCTGGAGACACAGTCGTGGACGGTCTGACGAAACAAGACGGGTTAGTAAACTCCCCGGACGGTTTGACAGCAGGTGAAGCAGTAGGTGCATCGGATACATAGGCGGGCAATGGTTTAGGCAATTCGTCCATAATACGGATCGCTTCGAGTAACGATTTAGGGGCATTGTTGGAAGCATTCGCTTTGATAAAGTCCGACAATATACCATTTGCCTGTCGCACAGGAGAAATGTGTTCGGCCGGCTCTTTTAAGTCTGTCAAGACGCCGGCACTTTTCAGTGAATTCTCTGCAGTCAATGGCGTCGTAGGTGTCGAACCTGTCGGAGTGGAGTCATTGGAAGCAGCGCGGACAAACCAAGGGATATGCATCTTCTCTGGTGGCTGTGGTCTCTTCGATATAATCGAGAGTTTTCGTTTTTTACAAGTCTCTCGTTTCTCACCGGAGCTCCGCTGCGAGATGTACAAACAAAGGAAAGTACAAAACGAAATAAACATAGAAAAAAGAAGTAGAAGCAACCATCAATTATGGTGAACACAATTGCATTATCAGGAACATGACAAGGATTTATAATGTAAAGAGGGGGAAATGATGAGAAGTTAAACCAGAAAAATGGGCAAAAGAAGGTCCAAACCGCATAAGCGCGCAAAGTACAACGCTAGATGGAGAAAAACGTGGTGAGCGGATGCGTAGCAAAAGGTGAATTTTCGAACACACGGCATGTGTGAGTATATCGCATACAGAGTGGATCGCTTTTAGGAATAACAGCAAAAAAGAGGAGAGCGAAAAGATGCAAGCAAAGAACAAGGTGAAAGTGAACGGGTAGTGGTTTTGCAAAAAACGTGCACGAAGGCGACGGTAGAAACAACATAACACAGATGCGTGCGACAAGGCTACAGTAAAGACGTGATGCGGGAATGTAACATCAGATAAAAAAGAGGATGGTGGCGAGAAAAAGAAGAGGCGATGAACAGGTTGAGGCACATTTTGAAGAACACTTACGTCGAGCTGATGAACCAAAGTGCGGTCCTGAAACAACGAAGATCCATCAATGGGCGAGGTGACATCATGGCTTTGAAAAATACTACTCAGATTGTTGGCAGGAATGGTTGGAATATAACAGGTGGCGAAAAAGAATGCAAAGAGATAGGACCAAACCTGATACCGGGTGGCCAATTTCAGCCAAATCAGAAAACGATCATCCAGTGACAACGGTCGGTGACAAACAGAGCAGCGTCGTGTGACATAGAGCAGGGTATGTGTTGAGGAACCTCGTTCCATACTACAGATCATTCCAAGCCATATGCACATAAGAACCACCTGGATGTGAAGGTCCAGTAAACGTGAAGTGCGGAACGAGCCGTCGGTTGCGTGTCATGGCAACTGAAAAGTACGGTCTGAAGCCCCCAGTAATATGACAGCAAGGGGGATCGGGAACTCAGGGCGAACCAAGAAAGCTCGAGAAAGTCGGCAGAAAAGTGGTAGGTGTGAATCGAAGAACTACACTTTGGCCATCAAAAATGATGAACTAATTAAACACGGATGCTGAGGAGGGTGAGATAGACAGATTACTAGATACACCAGGAGCAAAAAAGGAGAGAACAATACGGTTCACGGTCGACTTTAGAAAAGTAGTGGCACTAATGTGAAGAGTCCGCGATGTAAGCAACGGGGTTCTATGGTTTCTAAGCAATGTCCAATCAGGCGCAAGTGTTGTCTCGAAAAGGATAGTGGATGACGAAGGTAACGTGCAGACGGGAGACAGATGTGATGAAAGAATGTTTTAAGAATAAAGTTCAGAAGAACACAGATGGCCAAGCATATACGCGGCAATTACCTTACACAATTCCCGAAAAACAGCAACTTTCGCAGCAGGGGAACTCTACTTCGTTATTTGCACGTACGTGGCCGAAGAGAATGAACGAAACGACAGTGTCATGCCACAACATACGTCTTCTGATGTTCTTATTTAGAAAAACTAGCCTGGTACAATGTGGCAGCACAACCTAGGCTTGCGATAAACATATCACGGATTAGTTATAGAGTCCATTGGCCACTTGAGTAGCATGTAAATAGGAAGACTGGGGAATTCTCAGACAATAGACAAGTGTAGATGCGCCAAAATAGCCCAAGAAGCGATGAGAGCTTCACATCCGGTTGTGGTATGAATAGTATCAAATGAGATGTTCAAGTGTCAAGAGGTGCAAGCAAGGTATAAATAAAGATACAGGTGCTTCGATCGAGAACATCATGGACAATTGCCACAGACTCATTGCACAGGCTAGGGGTTTTTGGACAAGTGTTATTGTGTTAAAACGCTACGAGTGTAACTAGTAAGCTGTCGCGATGATGAGTGCGCGCAGGAGTGAGGAAAAGGAGTAAAGGGTGCAAGATAAAAAACTGAGACAAGGGGATAAGAAGGGAGAGTGCAAAGAGGTGAAGCTTGAAAATGCGAAATATAGACTTGGTTGCAAGAATACAGTGAAACAAGAACGAACAAATGAAAAGGAAAATTTTTGTGCAAAATGTCACGCATCGGTGGCAAACGATGGAGCGCAAAGGATACCGACGAAGCTGAAGTAGTGTAGGGGAATAAAGAAAATTGACGCAACGAGAGGAACAAATAGCTAGAGGGGTGAGTTGCGCGATAATCTGAACTATTGCATTGCGGAGAATAACACTAAAAGCTCCAAGAATCGTTAATGCAAAACAGGTGGGTGAACAAATGCACTATCGTTTTTCCTACAGAAGGAGATAAATCGATAAACATCTTTCACAAAATGTTTTCGAAACAACGGTTACGGGGTAGAAGCTTAGCGCAACTGGCGAAGAACATGAACGATATGGGACCTTTGTGACAATGAGAAAAATATGACTGACACGTACTTCAAGCCAGTAAGAACCGGAACATAGGAGTACCTTCCGTCTAGAGCCCAGGCCGTGGACAACACACGTTAGAAAAATATGCAACTCAGAACCTTCTAAAACCGCTCATGGCAGGGTACAAGGTTCACAATAGGAATCTAGTCACATTCCTGAGGTGAACCTGCCCCGTACTGCTGTGAGTCAGATCATCGAATCAAAGATGATAAGTTGGAAAAATCGAACGAAACTCTTGTATCGAAAGGAACAGTCCCCAGTATTCTTTTCCTTTCTACCGTTTCTTTTTAACTAAATCTCAATCATCAGGTTACTTATTGAAACATTACTGCTTACTAAGTTGCGCACAGTGACAGAGAACCAGATCCACTGTCTACATAGAGCGTACTAGTCCGCCAACCGCACCAAGTCAGCCAAAAAGTGGTGGTCGTTGATACACGCCCTTTTGGATGCTCCGTGTTGTGACGTCGGAACAGGCAAACAAGAAATATAGCGTCTTAATACATCTGCGATAACCGGACAAGAGTTACAGCATACTCAGAGAGCAGTTAGGGATATCAGACGAATGAAACGCAGAGCTTATAGTGCTTCAACCGTGAAATGCTCAACTCAGGAAGTGGTGGCACATCAGCTGATTATGTACCTTCTGAAAAAATAATACCAGGCCAAGTCCACAGAACAATCATGACACATGGGAAAAAAATTCGCCAGAAAAACAATAGCCAAATAAGCGCAAGCAAATGAGCTGAATAGAAATGGAAGTATATGATAAGAGCGAAAAATAATCAGGATGGAAAATTGACAGCTAGATGCAGGAGACCGAAAGTAGCAACGCGACCGACTGCAACATATCACATCATCATCAATACACGTTATCCTAGGGTGAGAAACACACCTCAGCTAATGTGCCGCAATATAAAAAGTTAAGACTAAAAAAGTTCACTTACAAAATGGATTACAAACAAGAAAGATGATGTCAAATATCATATTATGTGCTTCGTATGGTCGGGAATGGAGGGGGATGGACAAAGGAACTCACAACACAAACGCCATTGGGACCGGTTCCTAGCCATATCAACAAGTGTGTCCAACCAAACGTGTTCATCGTCCTTAGGATGCCAGCCAATCAGTCGGGAGGCACCAACCGACGCCAAATTCGAAGTGAGGGTTTTCATTTCTCTCGACCAAGTCATCGCTTGGCCTCCCCTCCTTCCAACTGCATCCCCGGCACGCAAACAATGCACGTCGCGAGAGTCGATGTGCTGGCATACACAACACGTGGCCCAGCCATCGGGTCCTGGTGCATGATATAATGGTGCTGAGCGGTTCATTAGCTCTTCCTGCACCAAATACGTGACGCCGAACACGCTCAGCGCTCACGCGGTGCTCTCATCAGACATGAGCTAAGCTAAAAAGGCAGCGATGATCGAATGTGACGAGCCTCTTTATATCTGTCGACCTGATGGGCCAGGTATCACAACCGTCTAGGAGAGTTGGACGGACGGCTACGTTATAAACTCTGCCCTTTAGGGCAAGAGTAATGTCGCTTCTGCGCCACAGATGTCGGAGATTGGCAAAAGCACCTCAAGCTTTTGCTATACGGTTCGTAACCTCATCTTCGATACCACGGGCACTAATATAGCTGCCCAGGTACTTGAATTCCTGAACGACTTCTAGCTGATCATCACCAAGGGTCAGCGCAGGGGTGAGTCCCTGCCAATCTTGGAAAAGTACTTTGCATTTAGATGGAGCAAAACAAAGCCCAAAACGATAGACAACCAGTGCTAATCGCTTCAGTGCTGCTTGGCATGTTTGGGACCTGTCACAGATTAGGGCAATATCGTCCGCGTACTCCAAGTCAAGAAGTCGCTCACCAGGAAGTAGCTTCACACCTTCTAGACCGGGTTCAGCGAACACTGTTTCCATGAGTTCGTCAATAGCGAAGTTAAAGAGGAAAGCTGACAACAGGCATCCTTGTCTCACACCGCTGGTGATACTGAAGGGTGACGACAGTATGCCATAAAACCTCACTCTGTTAGAAATATGCGCGTACAGCGCTCTGGTAATCTTTACGTATTTATCAGACACACCTTTCCGCAGCAGACAGCCCCAAACGGCACGTCAATCGACTGAATCGAAGGCAGCGTTTATGTCAAGAAACACGACGACATTGGGTCGCCAATAAACATGGCGGTGCTCCAACAATTGACGCAAAGTGGAGATGTGGTCGATGTAGCCCCGACCTCGACGAAATTCGGCTTGCTCTTCACGAATCTGGCTTTCACGAGTGCCAGTCAGTCTGTGGAGAATGAGAGAGGCAAGCAATTTAGAGGCAATCGAAGTCGGACTGATCCCTCTATGATTTCCGCATTCCGAACGGGGGCCTCCCTTGAAAATTGGGACAATGACGGAGCGGTTCCAGTCTGCCGGGAGAGTCTCCTGCTCCCAAAGTTTCACTAGCAACTCGTGTAAATCATCTATTAGAGCAGGTCCCCGAATTTGAAGAGGGCTGCGGGAATTCTATCTGACTCTGCGGCCTTCTGCAATTTCAACAGCCTGATCTCACGTTCGACTTCTGCGAGTGAGGGTTGACCCAAGGAGACGGCTCAGTGAGAAGGGCGCTCAATGCCCGAAAAAGAGAGTGATAACAGGCTGCTCAAATTTTCTTGCAGTGCTTGGCCCAACGCTCTAAGGGTTTTGGCAAGCCGTGGATCGGCTGTCCACTCTCGTCGCGTATAATCTCGCTAACACCAGCTTTCCTGCTGCCTGTTTCCCGTATCAGACGGAATAACTTACGATGATTACCAACGACAGCGGCTGTTTACATCTCCGAGGCACGATGAGACCACTAGGCTTCGCAGTATCTCTTTAGGCTAGTCTGCAGTTTTGCGCTGAGATTTTTACGAGTCTCATGGCATAAGCTTTCAGCCGGAATAGGTCGGCGAGAATCCATAAGTTCCAGAGACTGTGTACAGATCCAAAGTCCAGTTTGGCAATTTAATTTGCCACATAAAGACATGCCTGCTGATAGTAACGTTTGGCGAATATGCATCCAGTGATTTCGACGGTGTTCAGTGGGCGCTTACTCAACCCGGATGCCAGCGTACTCTGATAAACATTCAGAACACCTGGCTTAGCCCGCTGGCTGG